TAAAAAATCCATGACTTTCCATGACTTAATATCATGCATTAATATTAGCATATTAAAGTTCAAATTTTGAATATTCGTTAATCAACATTAATGTAGTACCCAATTGACGAAACACATATTTTATATAGTTTAAAGTTAATATATATAATATTTTTTCACTGAGTATAAAAAGTTGATTTCATCAATGGTTTGATACACTAGTAACGAATGAAAAGGTTCACCAAGTCCAGCGTTTCAACCATGATATATTGTACATTTCTAATTGATTTCCAAATTTCTTGGGTTCGAACGAAAGTAAGTGAAATAAGAACAGCATTGCCTTATCACCACAAATGGTTAATGCCTTATCATCACTACTCTCCTCCGACCCAAACCTAAAATGGAATAACTCATCAACGGATTGACGAGAATCAAAAATTTCAACATCAATATTTATTTTAACCAACACTCCATCTATTCATGGAATTATGAATATAGGTTATGGTATAAAAATCAAATAGGTAGTATGGTTATTCCCTCCCAAATTAAGAGTGAAAAAAAAATAACATAAATGTTAAATTGAGGAGCTGCGTGTTTCTTAAATCTACAAAAATAAAAATTCTGTTTAAAAGTTTATTCTTTCCGAGATAATGAGTGTTTTTTATTCTGCTATAGAACTTTACTGCAATACCGATACGACCCATAAAGTTTAAAAAAAAATAGATAGACCACCGCCTTAAAAGGATGAAGACCCATAATTTTTTTCAATTTAGAATTTAAATACATTTTTTTCTGTAATACTGATTCCACGGACATATTTTATATGTTTTTTTTTAAATCTACCAATGATGTTTTGAACAACAATTTTTTTTTACAAATGTCACATACAGCATATGCACTTGTTATAATGCTTTTGTTTACTTATTATACACAATAAAAAATTACACAAACGTATTGAGAATGAAAATATTAAATAATAATTTAAAGGATTAAACGGAAAAAATAACAGCACTCAATTAAATCAAACTTCGTATGCATTACACAATTACGGTGTAGACAGTGTAGTGTGTGAATCAGTCAGAATGTTTACAATTTAGACATAAAAATTATAACATGAATTAAAATTATATGTAGTATTTTTTATTAATAAATAATAAACCATTCAATTAAATATCCTCACATATAAACCATAGAAACATATCTAATGCTAGTATTTACTATTGTTATAATTAGGGCTAGAATATATATGTATTAAAAAAACCAAAATATGAAAAAAAAACCGCTTTAGATGTGATAAGAAAATGAAAACATGGAGTTTAAAATAAACCACTGACAAAAAAAAATTAAAAAATTGCTTTATAAAAAACAAAAAATGATAAAAAAAAATAAGACATTTAAACTGAAATCGAACCTTATTCATCTTAATTTTGATAGCAATGAAATACCATATACATGCTCAAATTCTCAAAGCTAAATCACCTATGGGTACGGTCGTAACACAGATTTGTACTAACTTAACGAACGTCTCCACTTCATTCAGAGGTAATCGACAAAAGGATTAAAAATGTAAATTGAATTTGGTGGTCCTGAGAAGGACCGTTTTAAGGTCATACGATAGCAAAGGGGATAGTGGTGTTGTATGCAAAAATTTATTTTTTCTTAAGAGCGGGCTTTTTGGTAGCAGCTTTTTTCGGTGTTTTTGAAACAGCAACAGTTGCAGCACTGGGCTTATTTACCAATGGTGACTTTTTCTTGGACTTAATGACAGGAGGTTCTGCTTTAGAAGCCTTTGCGGGAGGAGTCTTTTTCGCTTTTTTGGTAGCTGGTTCGCCGGACGTAATTTTGGATTTTTTGGCCGCCGGCTTCTTTTTGGGCGTACTAGTGACAAGAAGTTTCACTTTTTTCACGACGATTGACTTCTTAGCAACGGCCTTTTTTTTAGGTTTAGTTTCGGGAACATCCAATTTGTAGCGGCCCTTGATTTGAAGAACGGCACCGTTTGTCACGGATGCGGCCAAGAACTTTCTGATGAACGTTGCTACTTTGACGGGTTCTACTTTGTAGTTAGCAGCTATATATTTTTTAATTGCTGCTAACGATGAACCCTTGCGTTCATTCAGCTCTTTGATTGCGGTCGTCACCATTACAGCCGTCGAAGGATGTGCGGGACGGGACTTCTTGACAACAGTGTCTTTACGGGAAATAAAGACCTTCTTTTTGGACGGAGAATGTTTAATGACCGGTAATGAAGGGGCCGAAGGAACTGGAGTGGACGCTGCAGTTGCTGCCATGTTGAAGTCTAGTAGTTTCAGTGGATGAAAATTGGAATAGACGGCAATGTTTAACCAGGGTAAATGCAGTCAAGGATTATATATAGTGTACGCCGTACCGACTAGTAAACATATGCTACGCAAATCCGTTAATTCCTTGTGATTGTATTAACGTTTTTCATTATAACTTTTCGGTAACCAATTAAAAGATTCTGTTTTTTGGTTTGACGGAACGCCAACTAATAATCGAACAATGATAACTATACATGATTTAAAAATTCTTTATTAAGTATAATCTGTAAACAGTTAATCTGGCACATTCACTCAGTTTTCGTTGTTCTTAGTGAACAGCCGACCACCATACTGATTTCACACGAAATTACAAAAACTTTGTTTAGGCTTATTCTTCAGATGTTTTCTAATGCAGACACGTTTTTAGGTCGGTCGCTGATCGGTTTCAAAATAAACAGCGACCACTAGAAAATGAGCACTTGGCGTCATTCATTGCGCATTGGGGATGTTTACGAACAATCGTTAAATAATGTAAGTCATAACATCATAATAAAATCTATTTATTTAAATATAATTAAAATTGTTTGATTATCAATAAATTGATTTACATAAACATTTACGTATTTCCAATTTAAAATCGAAAGTATTGTGTGGTTAGATAGCCAATTACGGTTAGGTAATAAACCGAATCTCTAATAAAGAAATATTTTTTATTCACAACGTGAAAATATGTTATGTGTTCATCCGTGTTAAAAATTTTAAAATAGTCCTTTTTATACAATACTTAATGATTTTGTTCTGTCTATAGGTATATGAACGTATGAACTCTATAGTCTAAATTATACTAAGTCAAAATGTTATTTATTATGTAATTCTATACAATGTATCGGACTCACCCCGTCTTAAATATAAAATTTAAAATAAACAGGTACTGAGGATGATAGCGGCCACTATTATAGGTGAGAAGTTGGGAAAGTAGGATACATAAAGTTCTTTCATTTATATCTGTAAGCAACGATAAACCATTGCTTGACGAAAGACGATTCTGAGCGAAGTTCTGTAATACATAATTTGAAGTGCCGTTTTTTTTTTTTTTGTGATTTTCATGTATGCAATTTGATTTCAAAACGCTTAATAAAAAAAAAGTCATCCGATAATTTCGGAAATTTTACCACGTCTAGGTAAGTCCTATATAAGTATTATTACCAAGTTTTATGTCTCTACGTGTATTTATAACCGAATTACAGTTTAAAAACTCACAAAAATTAAAATTCCTTAAAAGCTCAAAAGTTTTGGCGATGACACAGTTAGTAAATCAAAAAAGCAACAAAAAAGATGATTGTGTGATTTTTAGATTAAAACATTTTTTCTGGTAAATAGTTGTTAAAGTTTTTATAAAATAATGAAATCTTAAAATTATACGGTTTTCCTAAGTTTTTTCCCACTTAAGTACTTTTATTTTAAAATTGGCGTCAAAAGTCAAAACCATCTACACGACTTGAGCTTTTAGAAAAGGTGCTACATTTATGCATGGGAGCAAGTTTACTTGGAAAAAACGTGTCCACAGACTAGAACAGAAAAAACAATTAATAGCATCGTAAACCAATAGCACCCTCGTCACGCTCGGAATCTATTAAAGCGTATTTATGGGTTGTAATTGCCTTAGTCGAGATAAGTGCAAACGATCGTCGTAAACAGATAGCTGTTTATCACCAACAAATAACAAAATAACAAAAAGTATTGTTTCAGCATTATTTCAAAAATTTTAATCTTTTATAATAATGATTTCGTAAGTGTGTTAGACGATTAATAATATGCCTACTATTCGGTAATCATAATTTTTTGATAAACAGTATTATTTATCGATTTTTTTTTTTTTTGGAAGTCGATCATAACAAACTAATAAATAAGTATTGCGAAATACAAGGTATTCCTGTGGTTTTAATATTGTATTATATACTCGAATTATAATATTATTTTACGAGATTGTAACCGCGCCAGTGTCATTATTTCATTATTCAAAATATAAACCTCGAAAAATAAAGTAAAGCATACAAACACTAAATGTGTAGTGAATGTTATTACTTATACCGAAATAGGCATCACTATTATGTATTTTAGAGGTGGTACTCCACAAATTTTGTATGACTTTTGGGGATGATAGTATGATTGATTAGCAAAAATGGTGATTTTTCAAAGATAATTTAAAACTCACAGCGGTCAATGACTGCTACGTGTTACTTTAACCAAACATCCAGACACATATTATTTGTATCACTATTGTATTGTCTTCAATGAATAACTAGCAATTATATTTGCTGCTACTTTAATATAATCATTTAATATGAATATAAACAAGTACACTTGTCCTCTGTTGTAACAGTTGAAACTGGTAGCAAACAAAAACACACCACAAGCCATTTTAAATTTTAATATCCTTACGAGTAGCTAAAATAAAATATCCTATATTCAAAAATACGAAACTTTGTTACAATTAAATAGTTGAAATGAAAAATTTGGGCTCTGAAAAGGGCCGCTTTTATTATATATGATGTAATTAGAGAGAGCAAGACGACAATTGTTGGTGATTTGATTAACCTCCAAAACCGTAAAGGGTACGTCCTTGCCTCTTCAGTGCGTAGACCACATCCATGGCGGTAACAGTTTTCCTCTTTGCGTGTTCAGTGTAGGTGACGGCGTCACGAATTACGTTTTCCAGAAACACCTTCAACACTCCGCGAGTTTCTTCGTAAATAAGGCCAGAAATACGTTTCACACCTCCACGGCGAGCTAACCGACGGATGGCTGGTTTGGTAATTCCTTGAATGTTGTCTCGCAACACTTTACGATGACGTTTTGCTCCTCCCTTGCCAAGACCTTTTCCTCCCTTACCACGGCCTGTCATGGTATTCTTGTTAGTTTTGATTAATGAAATTTGATTTGATGTCCTACGGAACTCCCTGCGACTACTGACTTTAATACTATAGCAGCCGGTATTTATACTCTCGAAACGACAGCACCGGCCAATCGAAAGGACATATAGAATACCCCTATTCCTGCTTACAGTCCCAGCTAACAATTTATCTTATTAAGCAATATTAATTTATCTTATTAACGTATTAAGCAAGCCAGAGGACGTAGAGTTCCGGCCTTGGAAAAGTTGCATCTGAACAGAGTACGTAATACGGCGGAACTATGGTACCTGGTATTCATTTTAGGATCTGTTATTGCTTTCAAAGTTTTAACGGTTTATATTACATTGATTGTTAACTATAAATAAAGACCAGCAGATTCTAAAATAAAAACATCTAGTCGATTTACTGTTTATTTTTTTGCTGCTTTTATTGTAGAATTACAATTGTTCGAATGTTGATATTCCAGATGTGAAATATAATTTAAAATTGCAGTAGCGGTACTAATTATAGTTGGAACCATAGAAGTATTTTAGAAGTCTGAATGACTCCCAAAATACATGATGTAAATAGCGCAGATATTCTGTTACTGTCGCACTTGACATCACTTCGAATTTCACAATCCGCAAAATAATTCCTTTGTGAAATTACAGTATACGAGCTGTACGAAAGAATTCATTAATGATTGAATTTTTTTCGCTACCAGTTTCCAAGTATTGATTGCTCTTGCCACTATATAGCAACTGTTTTGACCATATTATTATTTTTGCCCATCACGATACCGTCCGGGAATAGTTGCTCTTCGCGAAATCCGTCGGTACCAACATGTAACCGTCACTTGTTGATCCGTAAACTACCTTTCCAACGTTTGGTCCGTGAGATCATCCAGTACTTGAAACCCGGCCTGCGTTTACAGAATTCGGCCGTAATGGCATTGCAAGAGGCCAGAGAGACGTACTTTGTGAAATTTTTTGAGGTCACTCAATTATGTGCCTTTTTTACGCTAAAACGTGTGATTCTCTAGCCGAGAGACGCTCAGTTGCCCCTTCGTATTCGTGGAAGACGCGCTTAGGTCAGTATTGTTTATTTTATCATTAATAAAATGGCCCTTCATAGGGCTAGTAATTTTTAATTATTTGTATCCGCAAATCATATAATGAGAAAAAACACATTATTTTAACGATTCTAAATGCCCACAGTTTATGAAAAACAGATGTTTTGACCTAATCAAAATTATGAGATAGATGGTCATCTATCGCGAATACCATGCGTATCTCGCATGATATTATCACATAGGCTTTCAATCGCTTGATTCGTAATAGAAATTGTGTAGTATTAAATCACATTTTTTTTTCTACTTCAACCAAAATACGGTTTTGATAAATCAATTCCCAATTTATTATTTTTAGGTAGATTTGAGTTCCTCGTAAAAAAATAAAAGCGGTAAAATAAGTCATTCGTATAAAAATGGAAGTGATAAATTGAGTCCCTCGTGGCCTCATATAAAAATAATAGCAGTAAATCGAATCCCATTTGAAATATTTAATGTAGTATAAAATATACAATTTGTAAGTTATTTGTAATAATTAATAATGTCAAAATATGAAAAGCAAATCAATATAAAATAATTTTGCATTAAACATTATAATTTGGATAGTTATTTAAATGATACAACCTTTTTTTTAATAAAGTCAATTCTAATAATTGTATTATTCCTGTATTTGTTATACACGAAATGAACGCTGTACGGTTACGTAACTCAATATTTTTGTAAAACGATTTTATCGCATAAGCACGTTGTTCACCACACCACTGTTCCATGTTTACTAAATGGCATGCTATCTTTAAACAAATAATATTCTGTGAGAATTCTCATCTTAATTACTACTGAGAAAATCTATATTTAAAACCGATACAGTACCTCATCGTGTATTTTTTTCGCTTAATATTAGTCTCTTTTCCGGTATTTTGTTATGACATTTTACTAATTTCTTTGTTTTTGATTTGAGTGCGTCAATAAAAATATAAATATTTGCATGTGCAATACAAAATAAACTATTTAGCTAGGCGTGAAATGATTCACAACTAATTGTTGTACGATTTCATGTTGCCAAAATGCAGCCCAAACATTAGATGGGAATGCAATACTTATATGTTTTTAACATATAATCGGTAAATAACTTAATTTTTTCATTTGCAGGAATTTTTGGCATTATATCTTCAATGAAATAATTATGAACATCTTTAGGACTTTTAAGTTAACAAAACAAATTTCAAATAATTACTTTCGTCCGAATTTTGTTTATGTAATTTGTATTTTTATCACATAAAACCGTGTCATTTAACGTTGTTTAAAATGATTAGTAGTCGAAATAAAAATAATTGAATAACTGAATAATTCATCGACACCGTAGCTGCTAAACTCAACAACCCCAGAGCCAGCCAGCAATAAAACTCCCAACTTTCTCTCACAGACCATCTGCCAATCAACGCACAGGCACGGATTCAGAGCACACATCTGTGGAGGAGCAATATTTTTTACAGCACAAATACAATTAAAATATAATACATTATGTATATTATTTTCTCACACAATTCTCATACAAAAATCGGAGAAACAATATGTCTGGGAGGAGTTTGGACCCCTAAGCCCACCTTTTGGATCCGTCCCTGCCACCGCAACCACCCAAATTTCTTCTAAAACTGTGAAATATGCATAAATAGTCAAAGACACCGAACCCCCTCCCACCAAAACTCAATTTCTCTGCTACTGAAACTTCTTTCTGCTATCACCACAGCAGATGACCCAATAGCCATCATGCTAACAACTATAAACCCATTCATTAAGATACATACTATCCCCTAACTACAATGAATAACCTTAAAATTGTTCACTGGAACTCAGACGGGATCGCCCGAAAAACAAATGAGCTCCACGCATTCTTCGTAAAACATAATGTAACCTGGTCATGCTGGAAATATACGGTGCGCCATCTGGCCCTTCTCCACAAAAATCTCAAAAATACATAAACTGGCCAAAATTCACCACAATACTTAATCAATCTACAGTAATGAACCCAAAAACCAACAGCCAGTTAGAAATAGACTCATCACAATCCTCCCTTACATCTATCATTCAATCGGCTTTAGAATTCAGCACATACACATCTTTAAACAAACGCAAATTATAATCTCTCCCTTCAGAAATATTTAATGAAATTCACGAAAAAACCTACTACACAAAGAATAACAGAGAACCAGAGACCCCCTCACAAAACAAAACAAAATGTATCTATCTGAACCATCTTCACCACCCACAGAGAAGACGAATGGGACAAATTTCTCTTCTCTATCAGCCAACAAGACACATTTATCTCAACGTACTACAAAACAATCAAAAACCAAAGTAGAGCTATTTTCCACAGAAACTCCATATCTCGCTCACAACATATAAGGAAACTCGGACGACGGATATAAGCCATCAGCCCTCGACTGCGCAAACAGCAAAACTAAAAAGTACCTAAGTCACGTCAAGTGGACGCAGCAAACAGAGCAGTAAAATGACCAATCACAACCATCATCACCATCAATAAATCAAACTCTGACATCATCCCACCAGCAAATGGGTTCAGCCTGGGATGATTTATTGGTCTTCGGCCGTCATAGCAAGCAGAGCAAAAATATTTAATTCCAATGAATTACGATTTTCAATTTGCATTGCTTGAACTAATTATATAAATAATAATCTAATGACAATAGAATAATATAACTTATATTACCGCAAAATTTTTGAATGAATTTATGGAGATTCGCCATGGGTCAAACCATGGCTGGACGTGTTCCCGTTTGTCAGTTTGGTGCCGGCATTTTTGTTTGCGGTGCTTCGGCATAAAATATGGTGTCGTCGACGATTAAGAATGCTTTTGCAGACGAATGTAACGGCATGTCGTAGTTAAGTAGTATGTTAAGTAATACATAAATCCTGGGAAACTCCGGCGCTGGCGATCAAATTAAATTTTGCATTGCTTTAATTGTGTTGCTTGTACCAAGTTTTGAGCTTCCTGCAGAGAGGGTGATGTTGGCAGGAGTGTAAGTTTATGATGTTGGCGGTTGATAATGTTAAAAGTCGATTGATTTTGAAGTTTTCGTTTTTAAATTTTATTGTGGATCTTTTAGAAATATTTTAGATGTACGGGTAATGTTAAGAGATGATTTTTTGCTTTAGATTGGCTGTTTGAATTGAAGTCAGTGATTGTTGAGAGTTTTTCTAATTGCGAGGTTATTGACGAACCATAAGAGTATGAGTATTCTTCTGAGGAATATTGATTTAGTTTCTTTTTGTAAAAGTTGAGATATTTGACGCCCAAGCCGGGACGGCGTAGGGGATGACGGGAAGAATGCATAGCTTATAGATGAAGATCTTAATTGATGTATTGGAATTTTCTGGTTGACAATAGAGCGTGGTCTATTCCTTCTGCCTTACTGATGGTTGTTCTGATATTTAGCAAAGTTAAGTCTGGAGTCGATAAGGAGCCTAGGTATTTGATATCGGATTCCTGAATTTTAAGTCGGGTGTGTTGAGTGTTGATTCGTTTGTAAATAAGATGACTGTAGTTTTGGATGGGTTTACGGAGATACGCTATAGGGCGAACCATGGCTGGACGTGGTCTAGTTGACGTTGTAGTTAGACTGCGTAGATGTTAGTAGAGCCTATAACGTAGAATAAAGGGTCATCGGCAAATAATGCTACTTTAGCGGACGGGTTTAGCGGCTTGTCGTATAAGTATATTGCGAAAAGTTGTGGAGAAAGACACGAACATTGGGGGACTCCGGCGTTGGCAGCCCGGCGGTTGAACGTGCTGCATTCCGTTTTTATATAGAATTAATAATTATACTAAGCACTCGTACCTATTCATATCGAAAATGTACCCGACCTTTCTATGGATCAACACAGTAATGATGGTTTTATCGACCAAATCCCACATATTAGGATACGGTTGAATGTTTAGTAAATATCGTTTTATATCATCGTTATTTGACTGTACGCCAGTAAAAGAACATTCACAATATATTAGGGCTATATAACCGACTACAATGCGTGTACAATGCTCACAAGCAAGCCGTCGCAGCAACAGTACACACGTGTCAACCTCAACTTATTACATATTCGCTAATCATGAGTGGACGCGGCAAAGCAGGAAGCAAGTCGAAGGGCGTGAAAACGAAGACGAGGTCGTCCCGTGCCGGACTCCAATTCCCGGTCGGTCGCATCCATCGGCATTTACGAAAAGGCCATTACGCTCAACGCGTCGGACAAGGCGCACCCGTATATTTGGCCGCCGTCATGGAATACTTGGCTGCTGAAGTGTTGGAACTTGCCGGTAACGCTGCTCGTGACAATAAGAAAAGTCGTATTATTCCCAGACATTTGCAATTGGCAATCAGAAACGACGAAGAATTGAACAAATTGTTAAACGGCGTCACTCTTGCTCAAGGTGGTGTGTTGCCCAATATCCAGGCTGTTCTCCTTCCCAAAAAAACCGAAAAAACAAAATCTACTTAAACTGCTCCGATCATTAATATTAATATTCCTCGCTACATTTAATAAAAAGGCCCTTTTCAGGGCCACCATTATTTAATTATTGTTCTCAGTAGACAATAGTTAACAATTATCATGAACCTTATAATTAAAATTATTGCTAGATTTACAGATTTTTTTTTTTTCTACTACTGTGATTTTATAGTGTTTAGAGAGAAACTTCTAAAAAAGTTGATATAAACTAACTAATAACCATAAAGTTATCTATTATCTTCATAGACACAACAATAAAGAAATCCCTTTATTATCTTAAATCAAACTAGGTACATTATTAATTTTAAACTTTTACAAAGTGATATCAATTGATTTCGTTTAATTATTTATAACAACCATATATATATATATATAACTACTAGGTAGCGGTCTTCCCTATACAATCAATGGGACACCATATGGTGTGCAAGGTTTATTTACGTCTTTTCATCATACATTACGATAGTTACAATAGGATTTTATTAGGTAGGTATCTGATAAAACTATCGTAATATTAAACGATAACACAATAACATTGATATATAAGAATGTAGTATCATTATAAAACACTAAAAAGTCCATGAGAAGGATCGGGTAGTACAGGATCTTTTGGAAATCTACAATAAACCTGAAAACTTTATTTTAATGATAATGACAGCTTATAAAATTATCTATACATCGAACTACGTTGTTAAAAATGTTTACTTTGACAAAACGATTCGGATATTTAAACTTACGAAAAAAAACTGAGATTTTTACCGTTTGGTTTCTACGACGAAATGTAGAACAAGACGGGAAAAAAATTCTAAAGTAATTTTTGTCAATTGTTTTATTTTCGTACGCTGTTAAATGTTTTATTAAGTCTAAGTCATTTCCGGGTGCACTAGCAGCATTAGGAGATGTGAACCCGTTTTTAATTTATATTTTAATAATAAAAACATTGAATATTTTTAATCATTCAAGAACTTCAGATCTTAATTGAATTGTGATCGAAACAAATAAATCTTCAAACGATAAATTATTTTTGAAATCCACTTAGCTTTATAAAAAGCTCCTGGTATTTTTATTGTAATTTTTTCGCTGTTTTCTCTAACAAATAGCAAACTTATATTTCATAATTTCTTATAATCGCCTCTTGGCTGATACTTACTAAGTATCTTTATTATATGATATTAAATCACATAATTATTTGCTTTAATGAAGAGTCGCGAAATTCGCTGTTCCGAATGGAAATTCTATAATTGTTTAGAATCCAATAATAGATTTTTACGCCGTTTAAGGAACAGGAAAATATTAATATTTGTTTAAAACGTTATGTATAGAGGTTCTAATTACATTAAAATATGCATAATATTCGCGAACCTGTATTTAACTTAACTTCAATGAATAAAACATTATATATTGTTATCGTAAAACGGTATTTATTTTGGACGGTTAAAAAATTTTAATTCCCGGCGGTTAAATAAACCGGAAAAATGTGCATATAAAAAACTGATTTGTTAGATTATAGACGTGCGTACGATTCATAAACTTTTCGATTTCGGTTTTCGTTGATTGCGAGATCCGCTCCTCCGTCGTAATTGTCACATTACACTCTACAGCATGCCGTACTAGAAATCAATTACATTTTTTTTATATCAGTCATAGAATTCAAATAGAAGAAGACGCGCGCACCACTTACGCGTTTATATTGAGTGTTCAAACACTTCTTCACTTTGTAGTAATAATTACAAGTTCCCAATTCGGTCGGCGATATTTTTAAAGCTGCGAACAAAGCCCATAAGTGAATAATTAACTTACCAAGCGGCCAGTAAAAAATTCAACAAAACTCACATATAACGATAGTTGTAATATATGTATAATAATACCTGCATTATAAATTATTGTAAGTATGAAAGTGTCAGAGTATAGGGCCGTGTAGTAGGCTATTGCTGAATAATAGTAGATACACCTATATTCTAGTATTTGGTGGTAGTTACCGCCGTACTGAATGACTGAATATTTATTATCGGATGATATTCAATTCCAAATAATCATTGTGTTAGTCTCGTTTTTAATCAAATCGTTTTGTCACCAATATTTCAATGCGAGTAAAACACATTAGATTATATTTTGGATAAAAATATTTTTCAAAACTTTTAAACATTGAAATCTATAATGCATTATCAAATAATTGATAATGCATTAAAGTTCGAGGTTTTTTTACGAGATCATATACTTAGTACGCCTCGTTTTTAAATTTGGGCTCACACACGCGCCAGCTATTACCTTCGGTCAGTTCTCAATTTTCAAAGTTTTTCCATTACTATACGGAGAATACTTGGTATTTCAAAAAAGTGACCGTTAAAATATTAACTTAATTCAAAATACTAAAAAAAAAAAACTCTTATATGAAATGTTTAAATTAGAACAAGTATTCAAATGAAATATCCGAAGTGCATATATTCGAAAATCGAAAAAACGGTATTAACTGGGTTTAGAAAGTAGTAAAGGTGTAGGGTCGTATGTCCCGGAATGAATATACACGACATATAACAGATATACTAGGAATAGATGACTATACTTAAGGAGGAAAAAAATATTAATGACTTACATTCCATGTAGCACGCATCATTTACTTTCGTAATTATATTCACTGGAGTTTCGGGCCAGTATTTTGTTAACACTTCTTTTGTGCCAGTTCTACTGTATTTGCCGTAGGAGTCTAGCTGAAAAAAAATCATAATAATACGCACGTATAATTTATCCATAATATAATATGTATTCTATTTATTATACTAAAAGTGCTTATCAATAAATAAAATATTATTATTATAATTTTTTTTTTTTTTTAAATTACCATTCCTGATTTTTCGCATAAGCATTTCATGAAACACTGAAACAAAATAAATAACACATCAAATTAATTTTATTTTTTATTTTTAAAGCATCAAAAATTACCCGAGATAAAACCGTCTAAAGATTTTTCTCGATTTTTCAAACAATTTAAAACATGTCATTATGCGTACCTTTAGTTTTATGATTATCTTTATTACGTACTTATAACTTTTTTTCATAAAATGGAAGCCAATAATTTGTACATTTATTACAAAGACGTTATAAATTGTTTTTAAACATCGTGAAAGACTCTTACACCTAGGATACACCTAGGATTGCAACCGTCCTACATTTATTTAATTTGTCCTACAACCAACAACGTTTTAAATTCTGTGTGGAACTTTATTATTTTACGTTTCATTGCAAATTTTAATACATAAACATTAATAGGTTATACCTACTGGTTATAGTTTAAGGTCTATTGACAAATTCCTTATAGTTACCTTAAGTTCATTACTAAATCTTTTGAATGCGTTATCATTTATCACTTATATACCTATCGGTATAGTATAATTAAAGACAATAAATAATTATATCCTATTTAAACTTGTTACAGATTTGTTACTATTCTAGTATTTATATTTTTTGTGCAAAAAGTTAAATGTTTATGGAATATAGATGATATTTTAAATATGAACCTACCTATTATTACTAACAATTTACATGTCTAATAAATTGTAAGAATGTCGACTTAGTTCTCCAAGTCAAAAGAGTAAGTATAAAGATATAAAAAAAAATATACTTATAATAGAATATTACTTGTTAAAAGTCATACCTATAATATACCTATTCTACCGATATTACATTTTTTATTAAACTACCTGTGGTTTAAAATAAGACGTGAAAAAGTTGGTGACCCTATAATATGTACACCTCGCCCGTAGACACCTTTGTGCGAGATTTGAAAAAAAATAGAAGCAAATAGTGAATTTCATTATTTATCTTTGCAGCGATATATAAAAATAATAATTTACCTTTCCTGTTTCTGTGGACGGTACGTCGTAGTTTTTCACCACGTCCATATCCTCTAAATACAAAAACATACGATTTCGAGATTAGTATTTAAATACAAATTATAATATAAAAATACCGGCGGAACGTTTAAATTCAAATTATACCATAAACTTGAATTTTTACGAAATCGCATAAATAATGTTTAAATATGCGTGCGTGTTAAGTATCGGCGTGTCGAAAAACCGCATGGCGGATCACCGAAAACTCGCGATATTTTATTGTTTTAAACAGGACCGGCCTAATTAACCAATAGACTGAAATGGCTGCAGCCCAGGGTGCCGTTAAATTAGGGAAGGGGTGTGGCAAAACGATTTTTTAAAAAATAAATGTATTTTTTCAAACTCGTATCTCTGACCATAGGTGTAGCCAGACCTTTTTTTTGAGGGGAGTATTTATAGGTGGATAATGACTCATGATTGAACAAAAGCCAAATCAACCCCTCCCCCCAGCTTATTGGTAGAAAATCCATTAATCAGGCCCTTGTTTTGAAAATTATAAAATATTGCTGGCGTAAAAGTTTTACCTTTAGTGGCGTTGCACAGGTTCCCGAATAGATCGACATCTTCCGCGGAATATTTTCCCTGGAATATCATACAATATTAAGTGTATTACAAATGTTATCGCTATAATGAATACTTGTTACCAGATTTAGTATTATTGTACGCCAAGCGAAAATTTTTAATTTTTTTTTTCTACTGTTTACTACGCATAAATCATAACGATGTCGCAATATTAAATCGGATTCGAAAAATTCAGAATTTGTTGAATTCAAACGCTCGCGTACTCATTTTAATTTGGTTTTTATTTTTCAGCTTTCTAGACCATCGAACTATATCCTATTATAATCGCTGTTGACGCCGACGCAACGCATACGCAAATTTGCATTCGGTCCAAAAGGAACTGCTAGATGTGTCTGAAAGTATCGATAATAGTCTCGCAATAGTTGAAAACGCAATAGTCTCCATTTCGGGGGATTTCCGTGAAATAGGATGAAAAATAGTCTATTTCATGAAATATGCAACGTCGTTGCCGAATGCGTAAAATCGGCAACGTGAAAGTTATAAATATGCCGATTGCGTGAAATCAGTAAAGTAGAGAAATGTGATTAAGTGTTATGGGTATTTTATACTTATAGGCAACAAAGAACAAACTAAATAAGAAAAACCTTTTCCGATTTTGAGCACATCGTATTAATATTTAGACCGAAATTTAAATTGAAAATTATAAAAACATTAAATTGAAATAATTAATCGGTAAAAAAAAAAATTAATTAACATTAATTGAAAAGCTGAACAAGGTTTAAAACAAATTTTCGTCAACCCAATTCTTCCGTGTTACGACAGCTGTGACCCGATAGTGGCAAGCCAAATTACATATCTTGCCATTTCCTATTAACGTATAGAGTATATTTATAACAATTATTTTAAATTCGCTGTTTACTGCGTAAAACGAACGAACCAAATACGGAATAACGTGTAATATAGATTATAGTTAATAAGTATATTATTTTATTTAGACGATAGAAAAACCGTATACATTAACAAGATAAAATGTTTTGTTTTTGGATTCTTGTCGTTCAGTGCACATACGTATTACTACGTATAATATCAACGAATAAGGTATCGCTGAATTCGTGTATTCGACAGACAGAATAAAAGGCTGAAATATGACATACATAAACCTTGCAGCGAATGCAGCCATTCGTGAAATCGACAAAAAAATTTCGATAGACAAGTTGCTGATTCTATAACATGTATTCGACAACTTGTTTATTTCCTGAAATAGGTAATTTTTCTGTCGATTTCACGGATTCGGCGTAATTTATATGCATATGATTTTCTTAAATTTCTATATGGATATTATACTTACGTTTACGAAACTTGAGCACAACAGAGCCAGGCCGCACCACAATACAGATACTTGTAATTTCCACAGAGCCATTTTTAAAACACTCTCTTACTAAACACGAAACAATTTATCGTACAAAAATAAATGTATTTGTAGTATGTTCAACAGAATTGATCGGTTTGCAGAACCAGTTAACCGGCGGACTGATTCACGCTGTAAATGACCCACGGTCGGTTCTGCGCGTTCGGTTTATATATACTCTTCCGGAAACCTCCCGCGTGCACCGGTGTTATGGTTCAAGGTTGGGGGACATGGTATTATGATACGAAGAATATGACCCCTCACCCTAACAAGGGCAATTAATAATTATCATTAATTGTAATTACCGTGTGATAATAAGCTCTCGTGGTCTATCCATTATTTTATTATCTATGAAAGAAACCTAAATTTTACTGGTGGTCGACCTTCACATATAACTATTTTATTTTTTTACGATAACATACCTTGGTACGAGATCACAGAAAACAATATTGTCGTATTACAAAAAAAAGAAAAAAAAACAGTCTTCAAAAAATTACAAAAAGCCTACGACCTCTAAAATGTTAAAAATACCACATATTATAAGAGACCACTGATCAACCCTCTAAAACAATATCCGGGGAATTTACCCCGGTTGTCTTGTGTGATAAATTTAATTTATAATGTTGCATCAAACAAACATAAAAAAATCGTCCAACTTAATGCATACAAGACGGAGTTCGGCACGTACATACATACAAAAAACCAACACGCATTGAAAACATTATACATCCGCCGTTTTTTTTTAAATCCGTTAAAAATACCATTTTGTTCATATAATATTTTTTTTTTTTACAGCGCCACAACGGTAATATAAATAAAATATGTTAAATGCATTTATAAAAGTGAATAAATGAATAAAACTTTTTTTTTTTTTACAAGGCTATCCAACTTTTATAATTTATCTTTTATTTTGACACTTCTGTATAAACTACTTCTTTTTTTCTTTTTTTTTACTTGTCAGCCGTTTCCTAGCTGGAATTCTGCTCATATTATTCGTTAACTATCAAATAGTAATTTCCAACTTTTCTGAAATAAAGAAATGTTTTTTTGTTTATTTTAGAATGCAATAACATACAGTTACTATACTAACTCTTTGTCTACGAATTCACCCATGTAAGTAGTGTTAGAATCGTAACAATTGTTTGCTGTGAAATTATCCCAACTGGAACAATTGAAAGCTAGAAAATCTTCTTTGGTCAATATAGAGAGTGCGTAGTAATAATATGCTTTACTATGACTGCATGCACCAGTAGCTATAAAGAAGAAATTAAAAATTAAATGAAATACATTTCATAATTGAAACAAAAACTTAAATTATTTACAATTGTATGAGAATAGGATTTATTGTGCAGTACAATAAAACAATGATAACAAAAAGTTTTAAAATTCGGTGTAAGTTTTTCGGTACCTATTCGGAGTCAAACATTTGTTTTTTTATAGATACCTGCAATAAAATATATACGACTACAAAATTATGTAAAATATTTTCAAAAGTTTTACATCTGTCCGACGAGCTGCAGTTGGGCTGCGATTTTCCTCCGTTCGGGTAAAAATCGATGTGGCCCATGGAGCTGAAAATTCCGTTTTTATCGCCATTTGTATGCATAACGTCTACAAACAGCGAATCGGTTTTATCCAGTCTATCTGCCGAACCACTATTTTCATACAGAGGCTTTGCCGGATCCAATCCTAAAAAAAAACAAGTTTAAATTTTCATCCACCACTGGGCAGGTGAGACGGTTGAATTTTCCAAGGATCACATCATCCGGCATTGGTAATATCAACCGTTTAGAAAATGATTACAATTCCTAATACGGTAGTTAGCAAATGATATCATGAATGTCTATATGTCTATATGTCACCGGTAGTAATAGTCAATTTTAATAATAATTAACGAATTATATGCATCTGGAAAATTGATTCTCGATATTTTAGACAAGCTAGAATTTGTTACGGATGAAGTTCGAATTAAATTCGAATATTCCCCGATAAATAATCACCTGTGATTCTAGGGATTTGATTAATCATTATTTTTCCCACGAATCCGACTATGTGAGCTCCCATACTGTGCCCAATCAGGTGAACCATGTCGGCCCCTTTTGTCATATTATACGTTATTCTGTCCAAAACTCTGGCTATATCTTTAGCAATAAGTTTAGCTTTTGTTTTCGCGGCCGCGTACGTCATATCGGACGAATACGTTTTCCAATCCACGCAAATCACGTTGTATTCGCCGACTTGTAAATATGCTGTAAAAAGTTAAATTTGTTAATAATATGTATACATTTAAGAAAAAAGAAAAACTAAGTACAAATGTCAACAATTATATAAATCACTGATTTGCAAGAAAAATAATATTTATTTGATTGTATTATCATTATAGATGTATTATATTGCAATGTGTAGGCACTGTATGGGAATGCGTTTTTCTCGTAAAGCATATCGCTTAAAAACTTTAACTTTTATTTTAATCGAAATACACGATATAATATTATAAAATTATATAAACATAATCTCAAACTTACATTTGACGCTCATCGTGCAAAGACCTTGTTTTTGTGAAGTACGACCCATCCATCCATGCACCAACAGTTTAATCGGATTTTTCGCATAGTAAGTGGTCGACTCGGTCATGTGCGGTTCACTTCTGTTTAAAAGTTGACCGGTGGCATTTTCTCTACAATATAACGAATTGAAATATCTTTACTAAATGTGTAACTAAATTTCCCAACAGATTTTTGAAAACACACCAATATGTACAAATAATTCGTTAAAGATTTAAAAATATACCTAGTATAAAGCCAGTAAAACACATGTTTCGATACTGGATCACATTGTTTTTTCTTGGAATGAAATTGTACGCCGTCGTAATGGCCCTCTTGGTTCGCGTCAAGTATATCGAGGTCGTATGACGATTCTAAAATTATGACGGATTTACTTCTATACTTATTACTTAATACAATTATAAATTATAATTGTAATAATCAATAATATAATTATGAAAGGGTAGAATGTGTTTTTAATCTATGGAGGTACATTTTTTTGACTTTTAATTCCTAGAATGATTTTCCCAAATACTTTAGACATAGTCGTAAGGAGTGAATTAAGACGACGGTTTGCAAATTTTTGATGGTCTTTCCTCGGTTTTGGGAATTTGAAAAACGGCTATTTAATTTGTAGATTGATTCGTCTCTGAAGCTTAACGTGGATGAGAAGTCATTCCATAATTTTGACGGTGATCTTGGAGTGTATTTTTTACATCGGAAATTAATTATGCGTTATAAATTTGTTTGATTTGTGGGTCTTTCTTGGATTGCCAGGCTTTACGAAGTCGTATTTTGGTTTCAATTTCCAGTAATATTTTATTAGGGAGGCCTGTAGGATAAGTCCGAGGACAGTGCATGATAGTTGAGCAGTTTTTAACTAATTCTTGGATGTTTGATGTTATTTTTTACTATTTTTTTGGTTTCATTTATGGTACTGATACGGGCATTTATATCTTTGGAGTCATTTCAATGTTGAATCTCTTCCAGTTTTGAATAGTTGAAAGTTGTAAAAATTGCAAGCATTTGTGTTGCATTTATGGTTTACGCATTTGATACTTTATCTTTTGCGACTTCTGTGCATAGAACTGATTTTTGAATTGAATAACAGTTTTTGTTGCGTGGCTGATCAATTTGGGTGTCTTAGATTTTTGGGCTATTTCCAGAGTGATTAAGTTTTGGCTTGGTTGGATTTTACTTGGTTTAGTGCAATGTAAAAAGGGCAACCACGGTAGTTTGCCGTTGGTTCCCATTGCAGTTACAGCATGTTGCCGGATCGTCTTTGGGCTTTACGCATATGTTGCTTGAGTGATCATTTCCACATTTAACACATCTTGGCTTGTGGCCGCACTGAAGGAAAGAGTAGCCTAAATGTTGACAGAGAAAACATTATGTGGGTCCGGTGGATTTGTAGGGTTCGATTTTTAGTCTGATAAAGAAAAGGACTTTTATTTCGAATACATCTTTTACATTATCTAAACCTTTAAAGGAAACCATGTGAAAGTATTCACCCATAGGTATGCGTTTGCCATTCTTTTGAATGGTATGCGCCATTCGATCATCCTTCCATTCTAAACATGGTTTTGGCCAGTTTACGCTATGTGCGTTTGGAACTTATTCAGACAAGGATAGGTAGGATACGTGTTGAATGCTGTGGAGTTTGTACGTCCATAGATTTGATTGAAATTGATGGTACAGTTTAATCTTCGGGATCATTCATGTGTAAACACTACGAGTTCGCATTTTATTTAAAGTTTTAAAAGATAAAAAATAAGCGAAAAAATGTTACCAAGTGTTTTACTATGTTTTTCCCATTTATTGGAAAAACTCCCGAGAAATTCAAAAAATTATCTCCCTTAAGTACCACCAGAAAAATTCTATTTCAGAAAAGGTGCTATACTTGATATTTCAGAGCAAGATTTCTGTACACAGTATAAAAAAAAAATAAACAACTTTGAAAAACTAATACATTCTTCGCTACAATCAGAATCTGAAGTCTACAATCACGCATATTTACGTTTTTTTTTTTTTTTTTCAAATTTAAAGTATGAACAATTTTTAAAAATTACGTTACAGACTAAAATTCGATTGAACATCGATTAATTTATAATTTTCCCTATGTGAATATAACAAAAATTCAAAAATTACCTCTTAGAAGTGAAATTATGCCATGCGCAGAAATACAAGTGGCCGACCACCAAACGACAAGTAAAAATAAATTTAGAATATTAAACATTTTTAATGATTTTTTGTTTTTCAAAATGTTAAATAAAAATATTGTTTTATTAGTTACACAAAAACATTTAATTTCCAATCAAAACTAGCAACAAAGAAGAACACAGACAATTTATATACATAATTATAAAATAAGTACTGATATTTTATTTGAAAAAAAAAAAAATTAATAGCATCTTTATCACCTCGCACTTATGTTCATGCAGATACCGACCAGATTTATTGCGACACTTATTGAACGACAATGTTGCAGTTTAAACAAACGACTAGATTTTGTGGTCATTGCGTTATATGACATGTTATCGTACAATATTTTATTTTGTAACTTTTTTTAATTAAACAAAATTATAAAATGTTAATAAAATAGGTGTGTAGAAAATTAAATTCAAATTGCTTTTCTCATTATAATCTGTTGTTGTTTTGCTTTAAAAATTGTTTAAGTATTAAATATACGACCCAAAAATAATGTTTGTATTCAAAAATTTCATTCCACACCACACCCCACTCCCACCCATATCAAGCCAATCATTGTAACATAGCCTAGATTAGTTTCTTTTATAGCAAACAATGATAAATAGATAATATGATGTATAATATACATACCCATATTATCGATTTTACGATAGTTTCCTGTGAGTCACAGCTATATTATTGAGATCATTTTTTCGAACCAGTAAACATTATGGCGTTACATAAATAGCAGTGGTTCCCAACCTTTTTAATACTACAGACCACTTAGAGAACTTTCAATACGCCATGGATCACCATGATTTGCTTTTAATTTGTTTTTACTTTTTATAGATTTTCTACTTAACTTTGTACTTTTTTGTATTCAACGAGTAATAATAACATAAATAATATCATGTACGATAAATTTAAAAAATAATAAACGACGTAATAAACTCCAACAACCCCTATTGATTTACGTCAAATACTTTTTTCAATTTTGTACGATTACCACACAATGTCTCGCGAACCACCGGCGCTTTACATACCATATGTTGGGATCCACTCAGTTGGCGTAAATACCGAGTGTGCAACGTGGACAAACGCCACAGGCCCACAACTGATGAGGTTCCTAGCAGTGGCCTAGACCAGGGAGCCCAAGGCAATATTGGTGTCAGCTGATAGTCTTTTTGAATGACCTTTTTTTTTCGCTTATCGGTTCGGCCTTTAGAACCTTAATATAATTTGTTGCCACGAGCATTAAAAGTTCTGTAAGCCACTGGAACCACTGCGTTATAATATTATAGTAAGTGTTAACAATTTAAATTCAATAGATTAGAAACTCATTTTAAATAATAGTTTATTGTTAACAAATCGTAACAGAATATTATTTTACTAAATATGAACATTGCGTAGTAATTAAATGTAAACATACATTTGTATGTATTAGGAATAAAAAATACAATCATATATTTGTACTTGAGTCGTTTGACGCTCCACTCAAAATTCATACTGTACCGTTGTCAGAATAAAGAACTGATAAATAATATTTACCTGTAATACTTGAAAAAAAAAGTTATATATATAACAAAGAAAATAAGTAAATACGTTCGACCACACTTATTATAATACAATGACTCTTCAAAATGCTTACCTGCTCGAATTCACATACTCTCCCATGTACGTAAACTTTTTGTCGCAATCGGAGTGCACGAATTGTTTCCATCCGTCACATTTTACCGCCACGAAGTCCTTTCTGTTACTAATGGACCGGGCGTAAAATTTATACGCCATAAAATGACTACAGACGTCTCCCATAACTAAATTATAGGTATAAATATAATTCCGTCTACCAGAATCTTTTCTACAGCCTGGTTGTGTTAAGTTTCCCTCGTTCGGATAGAAATCAACGTCGCCCAACGGCTGATGCTGTCCCAATATCCGAACCGTCGTGTGCAAAACGTCCACGAATTGCGCGTCGCCTTTACTGAGCCTATCCCGTGGCCGTTTCATGAAGAACAAAGGTTTGGCCGGATCTAGACCTATAATAAAATACATGTAAGTAAATTGAACGATACATGATGAGTGGCCGATAAAAAAAAATATCGAGAACGGTATTTAAGTAAATGTAGTTAAGAAAACTGCTAATTAGGAATAAGCGGAATAAATACAAAAATCTGACATCATTACACGGATAGTATTTAAAAATGTTTAGTCGAAACCAAATGCTCGTCAAATAGTATTATAGTCACAAATATGTGTCGGTTCAGACCGACAGGTAGGTAAAGTTTTCCATTTTCCCTCCCCTCTGCTATATCTAAACCTACAGTGACTTCCATGACTTTTTATCAACTAAGTAGTGTTGTAATAGGTTCACTTATTAGGTTACACAAAGTGCCTCGGAAAAATAACAGATTTGGACAAAAAATTTGGTTATATTTTTCAATACTCTTAAAATCGAGTCGGTTACGTTTCGACTTGAGCTGAATTCGGATAGGGTCTACCATAGTACGCATACCGGTAATCCTTGGTATTCGTCCCATGAACTGTTTGCCGGCATAACCGGCGATATGGGCGCCCATGCTAAAACCGATAACGTGAACTCTGTCCAGTTTCAGATTTGTATTATCGAGCAACGCCGCAATCAGTTTAGCTACGTAGTTTCCGATTTCCTTGCACCGTAATCTGGCGGCTAAATACGTCGTGTCCAATGTAACCAAACTCCAGTCCACGCAAATAACGTTGTAATAATCGTCCAGCTTGAAATATTCTAGAAAAAAAAAACCACCGCCATCTAATCAAAATGCCTAATGCATCGCCAACTATTAGTATTAAATAAATTAACATTCCCGTCATTTGAAATAAAAAAATTTTTAGATTCATATGTTATTCTATTTTGTCTTCGATACTCTTTTTATTTGTTTGCTATTTCCATACTATGCTACTTGGCTCGCTATCTTAGCAGTAAAGGTACGACTTGTAGTAGAAGCAAGTTAAAAATAATAAAGATTTCACAAGAGTAATACATTTTTTTTAAATAATAATATAAATAATTAAATAATAATAATCACGAACGCCGATGGATTCAAAATATTAAGAAAATCTTAAATAAATAAGTATGGAGTGTGACATTTTACAAGCGTAAAACTAAATACAATTGAAAAACTACTAGAATTTAACATGTAATGTGGCCGTAAGATTTTCAAGATTTCATTGTGGCAATGAAACAAGTGAAATAGTTGAGAATTAATAAACATTAATAAATAAGGAGAATTAATAAACAAATATAAACTTAACAAATCATAAAGTTTAATAGTTTATGTAAGTATATTAAAAAAATGTTATAAAATATAAATTTAGTGGTTTAGAAGAGTTATCTGGGTATAAAATTGTTTCTATGATCTTTTGAAATCTAAATTCAATAATTTAACATTTTAAACGTTCCCCGATGCTGTTTGATATTTTAATTTTTTAAACAGTTTCGGTTCAATGTAAATCGATAACATCGTATATTTGTCAACGTAGAATTCCTTAGCCTATACTCGAATTCAACGATTACGAAATGTGTTTTTATTTATTTTTCAGAGGAATGTATTTGAACCACGTCAAAAACAAAATATACCTACTTCTTTGCGAATTGTGAAACTAAAAAGATTCGAGTGATGGGAATTGTTTGTTTTTGTTTTTGTTTTTTTTTTTCAAATAAATATCTGAAACATTAGTCACAAAACGAATACGTAGTAAACGTTCAGCTGATAAACCCACCGTTTTTTAAACTCGTACAAACACTGTTTTGATCTTTGGCGTTACCCAACCAACCGTGTATTAAGATTTTTGTCGTTTGATTCCCGTCGAAATACGATTTTGACCAAACCACATCTTCAGGCGTCATCTTAAGACGCTCGTCGGGTATTTTGCTGTGAATAACAATATGTCGCATTGGTATTATTATTACCCCGTGTAAACCATAAAATTAAATTATGTTATCCGTGTTCTGTAGTTCATTAGCATTTTAAGTAGGTACCCGTAGTGAATTTAAAGAGTAAAAAACATGGGCGCAACTCATTATCTCGTTAATTCCGTATCTACCTAGTGGGCCAACTCCGAGGTTTATTAGGTAAATTTAGGTATGATAAAACGTATCAAAGAAACGAATAGTTAATTTTAATTATATCTATTATGCAAAAACAATTTTCCTACGTTTCAGATTACGGGAAGTAATCGTCGTTTAAGCAGTAATTTTATTTAATTTAATTATGTCGTGTTTCGCAATTTGTTAACACATTATCGCATAACATAGTAGATTACTTCAAAACACTTAAACCGCTTATTTTTATGTTTTTTTTTTGTTTCTTACAGACACTTATTTTAACAGTATTTATACTTTTATACTACTAGATATGGTAGCGCTTGAATCTCGAGTTAAGTATAAAAATTTAAAAACCTTAAATAACCGATAAAAATACGAGAACACTACTTAAAGTAGTGTAATAATATTATCCTCGGAAAATAAACTCTCCGATCAACTTCAATTCGCTTCATGTCGAGTTTAGACGCCCAGATTCATCATGCACTTAAATTGAAATTTTTCTAAAGAGAATTATTGATAATTTAACTGGTTTAAATAATAGGGTAGTCAGTGACCATAAACGGTATAAAACATTATTTTCAAAAATAATATTTTTTGGAAAAATATCGCCGCAGAAATCGGAAGATCAAGTATGAAAATATAAATTTTAATTATTAACTATATAAAATGTGATATTTATTGTTTTCAGTACAGTTGATGTTTGTAAGAATCGATGGAAGAACATGCATGAAAAAAACTTCTAATTGGGTCAGGTGGGTCGACTCCATTAAAAAAAATCGATCACATCAAAGCGCCCTGAAGCAAACCACACCTGTCTCGCATTGAAAATTTGGTTTTAATTTTAAATTAAATAAATTTACATTTACACCACACATAGCTAAATATTTTTACTTTTTATTTATATCTAACACATTTGCACGTACCACTATCATACAAGTGCCACATAAATCGAAATCAATTAAATTAGCGTGAACAATATTATGTATCTATGTAGCTATTTGGCCTGGTTTACATGCACAATTTTATTGATCCAATTTCGCCAAAATTTCTCTACCAGATACTTAACAATCACCAACGTCCCAATCACGCATAATACAGAGGTGATCAAAAGTCGCGCAACGCCTACCGTCTTGTATGAAACGCGCGTTACGGCGCAGTTTCTCCCTCCACGTCGTTTCCGTTACGTCATATTGCAACTTTGGTCTCGTTATCTTGTTTACGTACAACAACAGCAAGGTTTATAAAAAAACAACATATTTAACATAAAAAACAACAGTTTTATAAAAACTGTGTTGCAAATTTGTTGCGCGACTTTTGGCCACCTCTGTATACTGTTAACCAAATTGTACACCCTAAGGCCACTGCCTCGGTCGCTCTCAGGCTACTGCACACCGAATTTATCATTTTTTGAGATGGTTTAATATCAAAGAAAATAGGTGCGTATTAGTCTCTTTTGTAATATATTAAATGGTTGGCAATCAAATAATAATCCGGCTTATTCTACTGCAATAATATTATAAATGCAAAAGTATAGATGTTTGTGAATTAGTCACTTTAAAACAGCTGAACAAATTTGGTTAAAAATTAGCATACAAATAGAACATGTTCAGGATTAATACATAGGATACTTTTTGGTCCCGAAATTCAGCCCCTTAAGTCCGGTTTATACGGGGCTTTTTAATATCTTGGGAACGAAAATCTAATTATTTTAATTGATTTGTGGGTTACTTTTACGACATGAATGGAAAAAATATCAGTTATTATTAGTTAATTTAGTTGTCACGAGCAATAAAAATACCCTCTAAAAAAATTAATAAATTATTGAGCAAAAGCGGTTAACTGTAATGAGTACGGGGTGGAAACGTGGAGTCGCGGGGAAACACGTAGACACACGTTTTTATATTTTTAATTTTTTTTTCCATTCAACTGTCCGGGACAGCTAGTAAGTAATAATATAATATCAGTAGTAATAACCACTAAGAGTCGGATTAAATAGGCGTCTAGGCCTTATTACGGATAATTTTTAATTATTATTAAGTACAGATTATTAACGCTTTGTAGAATCAAAAAAGTAAATAGTATATTATACAATTCAGAATATATTCTTTACTATGATAACTATACTCAATACTCGATTGTTAACTTGAAAGTACCCCCACGGAAAACACACTATGCATATTTTTTTGAGTCAAAAAGGGCCAATGTCACTTTTTGGTGAAAATTAGTTATATGGCCAATCATATAAAATTGTATAATAATATGCTTTTTTTAGTGGTAAAAAGATATATCTCAATAATCTTCATTGTGAGATTCGAGAAGACCAATTTCGTTAAACAAATTACTATTACAGTATCAAAATGGATCAAAAATGTGATTTATTCTAAATTTCCAAAAATCGATTGAAAGTGAGATCGGCCCTTTTTAACCCAAGCCCCAGAATTGTAATCGATATTTTATTAATAAAAATAATTATTATTAAAATAAAAACTTATTCTGTAAACGATAATCAGGGATTATCGTTAATTTAAAATTATGATTATTTCAACATTATGATATAAAACACCTAGCCGCATTTGAAGATTTTTATAATACGCATTGATAACTGTGTATGATTTTTACTCGTGGCTTACCTCGAATACATCCAAAAGCGTACCGTTTTTTTTATGTACACCGAAATGGTACTTGATATTAGGTTATGGTTGAATTCCTCAACCAATTTTGTTCCGGCAACTAAATCCTGGATAGTGTTAATTTTAGACGATCCTGCGAAAGAAAACTAATGATACAAAATGTTTTTATGTTTTTATCAATAGATGAGTGATTAATCAAAATATTGAAATTGAAACCCCGGAGCGTGGAGGCGACAACAAGACATATCCAGTCTATAAAATTGTTCAGAAGAAACAAAATATTATTTTTAGAAAAATTTTTTTATAGCCCCCGCCCCCATCAAAAAAAAAAAAAAAAAAAACCATACATATCCGTATAATATCTCTGTATTTAACGTATAGTTGCTGCCGCCAGTTATCACGCGTGACATTTCTTTTCGTTATTATATCGTATACGTTTTGACCAAAATTGTCATTGAACCCGTGTTCACCCGGGTCTTCAATTAAAAAAAAAAAAAAAAAAACATTTTAAAAATAACAATAATAATGAATAGGTATAACAATCTGTATAACTACATAAGTATAACCATTTACACATTTATACCGAAAATGTTGTTGAGAAAAAAAAATTATGTTTCGAACAAAACAGAATTTGATTAACGCCTGAAAATTATGATATTTTATGGAAATAAAAATATCAACGATGATAATAATAATAATAATAATAATGTATTAATACTTAAATGAATACTTACCGTACAGGTTCACCAGACTAGCGAGGACGAATAAAATTCTACCGAACGATAATGACATTTTAAAAACAAATTATTACTCGATGTTAAACTATACAATATACATATAAACAATAATATAGTCGAGTTCGATTTCTCCAGGACTGCAACTGATATTTTCTAATACTATTATAATACCCGCCGCAAATTGTTAAAATGTACTACTACTATTTAAATTAACTAATTTAATCGACAGTCTTAAGCACTCGATATAACCTAACCCAACCTTACCTCGTATGTAGGTATGCAGAAAAATAATAATAATAAGTTTTCACAAAAACATAAAAAATCAATTAACTATAGGTTCGCTATATCTGAAGGACATGTGTCAAAAAGTAAATAATAATATATTACAATAATTGTCATTGTCTTATATGCCGACAAAAAAACGTAAGTATTGAAAATTGTGATAAGCTTTGTTAGAGCTTTAAAATTGTGACTCATTAATATACCTACCTATTAGATTCTGAGCGGAGTAAAGAATGTATTGATTTTTTAATGATGTGTATTTTATTTTTTATTTTTTTTTTGCCCACTTTTCTACTAGACATTTTATTCCTGATTTTCAAGTGTAGCATTTTTTCCGAAAGGAAATCTGACTGGGGTAGTACTTTAAAGAAGTCATTTTTGAGTTTTCCCAGGAGTTTTCTCAATAAATGGGTCATTTTTATTCTCCATTAAATTCCTCTGTATATATCATACCCTCCCAACTTCTCACTTGCAACAGTGACCCACACATCGTGCGAAGTATAATCGATTCATTGTTCCTAATTTAAATACTTAAATAATTATTATTTTTATACGAAAAAAAAAACTATAGACTCACATTTGTTATATTTAAAACTTAGCATTATTGTTGCATAATTCAAATATTTGTTTTAAACGTTTTTACTTTGTTTAAAACAATTGAAATAAACGATTAAACAGTATAAATGGGTCTAGGTCAATCGACTGACAACTATTCAACCGACAGGACAATTGACCGACAACTGCAATTTATAATTTTATTTTAAAAATCGATTACGCAACTATTATTCTTTACCAACGAAAAACGATTCTGAGCGAACTTTGGTTATACATGTATAAAAAATAATAATAATTACAATTTTTGCCAAATTTGGATATTAAAAACTCGCAAAATTTAAATGTCTATAAATAGCTCAAAAATGACACAAATGTTATGGAAATTTGACCACGTCTACAAAAGGCATATATAAATTTTCTAACAGAATTGTATATAAAGTAGTAATTCGTATCATGCAATTTACATTTTTATTTAAAATGTATAATAATTTAGTAAAAAAAAATAATTAAAATAAAACTAAAGTACTACAAAAAATCCAATTTTGACGAAAATTATAATTTTACCTACCTTTAAACATGTATAAACGAACTCCACTCAGAATCATTTTTTGTTAGCAAAGATTAATCGTTGTGTAATCGATTTTTAAAATATAAAAACATAAATTCTATGGCTATATAAATTATTGTCGGACAATTTTCCTGTTTGTATTTTTATTTGTCGATCGATTCTGACGATCCTGTCGGTCGATTGTCCTACTGGTCAAATAGTTGTCGGTCCGTCTCCCGTAAAAAATACAGGTGTTTAAAACAATTTTTTTTCATATGTACTTAAGATATCGGTATAGAAATATTATAAATGTTATGCTTTAATTTCATAAAAAAAATATGACAGGTAAGGGTAATGATAAGCACGTATAGCACTGACGGTTTATAGATTCAACAATTAAAAGTTTGGAGCAAGTTTAAAGACCGGATTTAACTGCGTGAAAAAATATATCAAAATTGCACTAAAAATATTATGTCAACATCGCAACATAAATATGTTAAAATAGCAATGAAAAACAAACGGACATACGTCGCATAATGGGTGGACCACTGTTGTAGATGAATTGGAAAGGTAAAGGGGACATAAATTAATGTATATCTATCTGCACGAAACGATTAATTATTGTTAATAAAAAACGATTCTAAGCAGAGTTCAGTTATACGTGTTTCGAAATGTTTGCGATTTGAAAACAATAAATGTCCTAAATTTTACCGTTTCTCCTACGTTTTTTTCTCGGTTTTTCCCAATCATAATGAAAACTCCTGGGAAAATCAAAAAATGGATTCCCTAAAATACCACCCCAGTCAAATTTCCTATTTGAAAAGATGCTGTATTTGAAAATCGAAAGAAAATGTCTGATTAGAAAAGTTGTTCATAGGAAAAAAACAATAAACATCATTGTAAAACCAATACATTGCTCGCGCGGCTCAGAATCTAAAATACGGTTTACCGGTTAAAATTATTTACTCGACCGCAACAATCGTAGTATTGATGGTACCCGAAGCGGTGCGTGTAAAATTTGAACGGGTTATTGTCCGAATATCTCAGAAGTAAGTATTTAGAATATCAATTTCTGTATTTAAATACCTACCTAATCTCGGCATGTATTATATATTATATTATATTACAAGCACAGGATCCAAGTTTTTAAAATGTCTTTTAGGGGGGTGGGCAGATTATCATTTTTGAACTTTCGAGCTTTTGTTTAATTTGAAATGTTTTCCAAAAACATACGACAAAAAGACTACACTGCTGATTTCGAATCGGTTTCTTCATTCTAAATCAGTTTAATTTTTTAGTTAAAAAACACAAGTAAAATGTACTGTATTCGAGATATTGTTATTGTCATTTACCATTCTGTGTATTACTGGTATGCAGAGGTGGCTGCAGGGGGATTAGAAGGGCCACGGCTTTCCTCTCAACTCAGTATATCTAAAAAATGATATATTATTAAAAACAAAATTACAAAAAAAAATAATAATTACTATTATAGACAATGTTTATGAATGAGCTTAAAGTCCAAAGGTTTTTGTACCTTTTTGAGTTCACAGATCACATAGTTTATTATTGTCGATTAATTATGAAAACATTAAAAACGTATCGCGACAATTAAAGGAATTTCAACTTACCTGAATATTTTTTTCTTAAACTAGAATAATAATCACTCCGATATTGTTTCGTATTTTATTCGTACGTTTATAATACAATAAGTAAAACTCGAATTATATTTAAATATGTTCGACTAAATAGTTGTCATGTCGAATAAAATAATGTTTATAGTCCTATTGTCCTAATTTTAAATTATTTTTAGATGATTTTATATTATACTTAGGTTATAGTCCTCATATTATTAATTCAACCTACGATTTCGATACTTAGAGCGCCATCTACAAACAAAATGTATAACTATACCATAGCATACCTTAAAACTCATAGATGTCAGATTCTATTTCAAAACGGAAATACTCGTATACGCATCATTAGAAAATTATAATATACAATACATACATTTTAATATTGTTAATTATTAATTATTATTAAACTATAATAAATTTCTTTTCTATTAATATTATAAATTTTATAATATTTAGTTTCACATTTCCTAACTCGAGAGTAAGTCAGAAAACATACGGTTACCATATTGTGATTTTTAAAATTACCTATGTGTTGTGGATTTTTCTTCAGCAAATGGCCTCTAGTATGAAATCATTATGTTAACAATTAATTTGTAAATTTTATTGTTGTATTACATACATTTTTGTTTACCCAGAGCTGTAGATAATAAAATAATATTATACCTAGGCCCTAGGTATTTTTAAACACCCCGAAGTAAAAATGTTCAATCAAAACTCATATTCAAAAGGATATGTTCATTATAAGGATATATATCATAAGGATATGAAGTTATTATAGAGAATTAATTTTGCAACCGAGTTATCTGAGCTTCTGGAGGTATTCTTTGAACATTTCCTACACTTTTCCTTCTCAAAATATTTGTATTTATTGAAACAGCGCGATGAATAAAAATATAGTTAATAAAAATATTATTTAAATCGAAACTCTTATTAAAGAGATCAAAAAATATCTACTTATATTTCAGCTTTTTAAGTCCAATACCGCTTTTTTATGAATGTAAAACCGAGTCGATAATTAAAGAAAATATGAACATGAAAGACGAGTCCTACGCCAAATGTATATGGTCCTATAATAGAAAATGGAGAATATAGGAAAAGAACAATTATTAATCAAGAAATGTACCTACCAATTATTCCAAAAACCCATTTTCAATGCGAATTTGAAAAACAAAAGATTAAAATGGTCATGTGTAGGGATCGAAAGGTATTACAATTTCCTCCGAGAAACTAAAAGGAAAAAGGTCGTGCTGGACAGCGATGGATGTACAGAGTGAAGTCAGATCTTGCTGAAATTTTCCAAGGAACATAAATAAAGTACAGCGAAGACCGAGATAGGCAAAGGCGTGTGGTTGAGGCGGCAAGTGCCGTTCATTATCTGTACTATTTGGATAAAGAGGAAAAAGAAACCTACATATTTAAAAAAAAAAAAAAACAGTTAGTGTTATAAAATGTATAAATTCGCATAACTTATTTTTCAACTCCTACTTAATCGTAATGATATGTACAACGATATACTATTATTAACATTATGTCGTTTGAGCGCATATAAAATACATTTAAAAAAAATAAAACTTAATATAAATTAATGTACAAAAATTAATTTCCTACAAACGAATTTTAAACAAATAAAAATGTAGGCGATTTACATAACACTATACGCAAATAAATACAATTTTTATTTACAATAATACTCGTCTCTTTACAAACTTTCTATTGGTATTCCAGGTCTACAGGGGTTTTTAAATAGTATTTTCCGGTTTGACTAATAGAAAAAAAAAAAAAAACAAAGAAATTAAAAAACAAAACAAATCACCGGAATAATAAAAACTATAGTGTACTAACTTTTTATCCACGTATTCGCCCATGTAAGTGGTATCCGAATTATTACAACGGCCCTTCAAGTAGTCCCTCCAGCTGGTACAATTAGTCGCGACGAAATCTTCTTTGGCCCATATGGATTGCGCGAAATAATGATAAGATTTCGCATGATTACACGAACCGGTAACTATAATTTTATAATAATACGCGAACAGAGAATATTATAATATACTTGACTAAACGTTAAAACATGGAAGTACTAATATTATAGGTATGTCCGTCATAATTTTTATTTACAATAGGACATAATAATATTTTTCTAAAAAAAAAAAAAAATAAGTACTATTACTCTAAACGGAACTCCGCGAATTCCAGCTTACAACTTTGATTTTAGGCTCCGACAATGGACCTAACTGAGAAGAAATTTACTGACAGAATCAGTAAGAATAGCAATAAAAATAGGCATAGCCGGGGGGAAAGAAGACCGAAAAATAGGTGGTTGGATGTGATTGAGAATGATATGAGGACGGTGGGTGTATGTGATCACGAAGTGAAAGTTTAAAATGATAAATGGCGTCACCAAATAATTCAGATGAATGCGAAGAAGAAAAACTTTGATCAATTAGCTGGAGAAAAATTAACATATTAAATATGTTTTCAACCTAATATTAAATGTTTTAATTATAACTTAATTAAAATATTAATAGTTAAATTAACTAAATCAAAAAAAAAAAACGAATAAATGTTTCTCATAAAACATTGACAAAAAGTAAATAAATCGAATACGTTTTCAAAATGAATATTGAACAAGTAGCGAATAAGTGTAATTCTAGCTTATTGGTCTAAATAAACGTCATATTCGTTTATAAAACGTTAATTTTTTCAAAATATTTAAATCAATTTGGTATTCAATTCGATTCTCCTTCAATAGATACTTTATTGAATTGACATCACGTAAAAAATGTATAATAATATTATAAATATTTATAATTATTATAAATTATCGAAAATTTAATTATACCAAATACTATATGGACGACAACTATACGGGATATCTATATGATGATAACTGACGAACAGAAGCTTATTTTTAACTTTTAGCCTAAATTGAAGTTGAGGTTGCCGTTATTTCACCCCTTTAAAATTAATTAATTGTATCAATTATCTGTGTTAATTTTTAGTAGTTAAGTATATGGCCAATGGCAGTTTCGATTTCGGGGAGAGGGAGTTGGTAATGACAACGTTTTTATCCTGCGATTCTGAGAGACGTTATTTAAAGTGCAATTATAAATTAATATTCGTGATGGTCTTTTAAAAAAAAAAGTAAATAAAAATTAATGCGTCTAACCTGATATATTGCAGTTGGGCTGTCTTTTTCCGCCATTCGGATAGAAATCTATGTCGCCTAGAGGGTCATATATTCCATTTTTTTTGCCATTTGTGTGTATAATGTCTACAAATTTTCCGTCGGTTTTGTCAATTCTGTCTACTGGATCACTATTGGCGTACAAAGGCTTGGCGGGATCCAATCCTAAAACGATTATCAAAAAAACAAAAACAAATATTTCAATATTGAGTTTTTTTTTATTTTTTATTAAACGCCTTAAAAAATATTTAAAAATATTAGCAAAACTAATAATTCAAAACATTGAAATGCCCTAAGAGACTCGATGAAATTTTCCAAATATTCTCCGATTTTCAACATTTTAATATCCGCCTTAAAAATAAGACTTTTCCACTATTCTATTGTCCGATACCCAATGAGAAGGAAGGGTTACAACAATTTGTATAGATGAAAATAACTTCATAATGATAGGGTTAAATAATTGTCAACAAATTAATTATGTGCTAATTGTTTTATAAATTGATTAATAACATCATTTTACAGACCGTATTGAACTCGGATTATTTGATTTCAAATAATGCTATGAAAAAATACCTAGAAGTTGAAAATTGACCTTTTTTGAAAACGTATTATATAGTTTAAGCTGAAAATATTGAAAAGCGGAGTTTAGTATACCTCTAAGAAATCTTTCTTTTTCCAATAAAAATATAACTATCGAAATCAGACCACTCTACGAAACGTGAGAATTTTTTTTGTAAGGCATATTTTTGAAGCAAAAACGCTCTGAAATCGGATCCCTTAATGATAATCTTTATACTTTAATTTGTATCAGTAAGAATCACGATACGTAATGATGCGCCCAATCACGCTGTACACACATTAACCATATGACTGGGGCTGTGAAAAAAAACCGATGAACAAAGCCTGACAAGATTTAAAAGAAAGATATTACGGACCCTCAACTTAACCAGAATATAGGAGAGTACGAACAATTGGAATCAAAAGGATAAGCTGGGAAGGACACGTATTGGAAGTGAGAGGAGGAGAATATCAAATAACCAGAAAAATTACAACCTGTAATCAGTTACAGGTAATATGGATTATAGATTAATTGATTTTAAAATCAACGATAGTACCTGTAATCCGAGGGATTTGATTTGTCAATATTTTTCCTACGAATCCGACAATGTGAGCTCCCATACTGTGTCCGATCAAGTGAATCGAGTCGACCGCTTCTGTCATATTGTACGTTATCCTCGTCAAAACTTTGGCTATATCTTTAGCGATATGTTTAGCTCTTATTTTCGCAGTCGCGTATGTCATATCGGCCGCATATTCTTCCCAATCCACACAAATCACGTTGTATTCGCCGACTCTTAAATATCCTATTTAAACAATTTATCTAAATCGATTAAACGTTATAACTAAAATTGAATTCTTTATCCTACAGTCATTATCGTCATATTGCATTATTAACTCCAACGTACTTCAAATAAATGATTTATGCCCATTTGCACCGCGGTTACATTTAAGTGCATTTTTAGCATTTAAGTGCGGATTAAAAGTTCTTTAATATTATTTTTTTGTTGCATCAACACTATTTGCCAACTTAATTTATTTTAAGCAATGCTTAATCTAAACTGTGATTTACCTGTGGCTTAACTTTTTAAGTTTTCTATTTCAAATATAATTGTTAACAGTTTACAATAAATTTACAAACTACAATATTTATAGTAAGAAAAAATTCGTTTCACGTTTCAATTTAGTTTTAACATTGGTTGCGTTTTATTTGTTTATTTTCCGTTTGTTTATAGTAAATTTGTAGTAATATGAATTTTAATTTCGTTTAATAAGAGTTTGTCATTTTTATATGGAATACCATCGACATTATAAAGATGTTAATTTAAGATGGTATACAGATTTCCCTAGATTTGTAAATACTACTGTTCACAGATGTTGGAAATTACGCAAATTATTAGTTCTTAACCTCGAGATTGTAAAAGTTAAAATTGTTAAAATTTCGAGTAATAGGAACAAAATACCGAAAATTACTTTTAGTGTTTCTTCCCCTTAGTATTCTAAAAATTCGATGGTGCGACACAATCATAACTTCATTTTAATTCAAGTGTAACTTAGCTTTAAACATGTAATCGACACAGACTCGTGATTTAAATTACTTATATAAAGTCCAATAATTTATTGTTTGAGATAAACAATAAATCTCGTCCACAATTTTGTAAGATTATTCGAACCGATCATTTTTTCCGCGGCCATTATAATTAATTGTTCGCTCGATATAATAATTATATTCTACAGTGACTTACCGTTGACGACGTACGGACAAATACTATCGTTAACCGAAGAATATCCCAGCCAACCATGCACTACTAATTTAATTAGATTTTTCGAATCGTATGTCGTCGATTCGATCATGTGTGGTTCGCTTCTGTTCAAAAGCTGACCGACCTCGTGATCTCTGAAATTATAAACTTAATGAAAAATCCCCGGCATAGTCGTAACGACATTATTGTTATAAACTTTCTAAACCTTGTGTAAAGCCAATAAAACACGTGTTTTGCCGTGTTACCTTCCTCGATAGTACTAGTATGCTTTTCATTATTCGCGTACAGTAATTCTTCGCCATCATCGGCTGGTATATATGCAGATTCTAAAAAAAAAAAAAAAAAAACGCGTTCCCCTTTTTTTTTAAAAAATTTTTTTTTTTTTTAATAATGGCAATTCTCACAAGCAGGTGGTTTGCGTTTGGGTGAGTAATTTTAAAAATATATTGTATTCAGTTTGGGCGACTTTTAATAATCCATTTTCCCTCTCATTTTGACAGACTTGGGGCTATCCGTAAATTCCATTCAAAATTCTAGTTAGTTTGTGATTAAGTATATCTGATTAACGATACAGAAAAACCGATTGTACAATATTATGTGCAGTTGTTCTATGATATTAATTTATTTTGCTATCATACTCACCTCAAACGCATTATAAGGAACTAGCCCAAACACATTGTTTTCATTGTGCAAAGAAAAAGGTAATTCGCCCAAACCCATGACGCCCTTTCAAGTATAATTTCACAAAATTTTTTCACGTAAAATACAACAATAATGATTCAAAATTATATATGTAATTTACGAGTATTTGCGGCCTCGGTTTCATTGATTACTAGTTCGTTTTATTTTGACTTCTGAAAGCAAATCGACAAACCGTCTCACAAAATTGAATATTTTTCCCCCTCAAAAATATACGGACCGAGCTTCTATAAATAATTCATTCGAAAAAAATATTATTATACCTATTGAAATTCGATTAAATTAGTTTAAGTTAACTTATATAAGTTAGTCATGTAAAAATAATCAAAACGAATTTCTTTGGAAATTCAATTGTATCCACGACTCGAATAAAAATATATTTTTCGATAATTCAATAGAATAAATAGTAATAATAAATAATAACTTATAGTATCCTTCGGTTTTTTTTTTTTTTTTTTGACTTCTTTATTATGAATTCCTAATATTTTTCTTGCTGTATAACACCCAACGTTGAATTATCGATAGGCAATTCAGATAATATTATATTCATATCAATACCATATGTAAATGGAAATAAGGTTAAACTACACAGGAAATATTCGGTGTTCGTGAATTACGTCGATTTTGGGACGCTATCTGTATTATATTCATCTATTGCGCCGGTACAAAAAAGGTATACATCAATTGCGCCGATCGATAATCCGTGTCGTAATCTAATATATCTAAGAATAATTTTCTCGATTTATCATACAACAATATAGATTGAAATACGTTTACGCCGTTGTACTCTGGAAAACCGTTACTTTTAAAATAATATTATTTGATTATTTGAAGATAAACATAAATAGACAAATTTTATTCGTTTAGTATATAAATCGAAAATTTGCAGTTTAGTAGTACATCCGTAGTGTTATAGATAGTCATAGTGAATTTGTGTTCTTTAAAATAATTTAATTATAATAATAATAGAAGAAATTGTAAGTGAACGTGGTAAGGAATAGATAATTTTTCAACGCTATACATTTTCTTGTAAAGAACTTACTAAAAATGACGAAAATGGCGGTGTACAAATAAAAATTACAACTCTAAGCTGTACCTTGACGAAAGTAAAACAACCATTTTAAACGAAGAAATTAAACACGACCATCCTCCTCCTAAACACCTATAATAGCAAATTATTTCAAATTAAGTGAAAAGGAAAGTAATGGACGATTTAACAGAAAAGCCGTTAAAAATAATAAGTAAAGAACTATCTAATAAATTAACAAACAATTTTAAAACTGATGATATATCAAATATAAGACAAAATTTATATAGATATATTAAATATATAATTTATATGTAAGTATTAATAAAATGTATTTATATAAAAATACTCCGTTATTTCCCAAAAATTTGAGAGAAAACCAAGAAACTTTAATTAACATTAATACACGAACAAAAACGAAGAATTTATATCTATAAATAATTTTAAAAATAAAATAACGGCATTTTCAACAGTAACTAAATTAAAATGTCTCTGTTGTCAAGAAAAAATATTTATGGATGAGACATTTTCTTACTGTCCTCAATATTTTTATCAATTATTCACAATACATACAGTTAACAACGAACATTATATTCCATTAGTTTTCTTTCTTTTGCAAAATAAAGAAGCTAGTTTTTATGAACAAGCATTCAAAAGTTTATTAGAGGTATGTGAATCGAAATTATACATCAATTTTAAGCCTAAAATCTGCATTGTGGATTTTGATCAAAGTATACTTAAGGCTGTTCTTGCAGTTTGACCGACTATAATTTTATGTGATTGTCGTTTTTACCTCTCACAAGCATGGTGGAGAAAAATTCAAAATTTATGTTTATCTATAGAGTATAAAGATAATTCAAGTGAAATTGAACAATGGTTGAAGTGGATGTTTGGACTACCACTACTTGAATCTAAAAACGTCTGCAATTGTTTCGAAATTTATTTTATGAGTATTAAACCAACGGTCGATCAAATAAATGTATTTTGTAATTACCTCGTTGATACATATATTAGTAAAGATGCAACTTTTCAACCTTATCTTTGGACATCGTGTAACATATCAGGTGAAAGAACTACAAATACCTGTGAAACATTTCACTTAGCGTTTGGGAAATATTATTATTAGCCCCATCCAAATATTTTTATTTTTTATGAAGTTTTAAAAACGATACAACTTCAACCTTGTATACAAATAAATAGCAAAGTAAAGTTCAAAATCAGAAGAATAAAAACAAAAATGATGATATGTCCCGTACATAAGAAGGTAAATAGAAAGGACTGCAAAAGTTACCGGGGAATAGCACTCTTAAATAAAGCGTACAAAATATTTACTAGCTGCATTCTATCAAGGATACAAGGGACAGCTGAAAATTTAATTAAAGAATATCAAGGTAGTTTTAGGCTAGGTAGATCAAAAACTGACCAAATATTCATTATTAGGCAACTTTTACAAAAAAAACATGGGAGTTCAATAAGGAAATGCATGTACTTTTCGTTGATTTCCAAAAGGCATACGATAACATACACCGAGAAGGTTTAATTAGTACTTTGGTAGAGTTCCATTTTCCACACAAACTGATAAATCTGATCAAGTCAAGTCTTATGGAAACGTATGTTAAAGTCTGAATAGGAAATATAAAATAAAATCGGAACAAGTACAAGTACGGACAGGACTAAGGCAAGGAGACTCTTCATCGCCTACATTATTTAATGTTGCATTGGAAAAAGTTATAAGGGAAATGAATATGGGACAGAGTGAAGGAGTAAATTTACAAAGTCATACTATAGAACTATTAGTATACGCAGATGACCTGATACTGATAACAGAATCACAAAATGAGCTTAAGTGACTATTTATACGGCTAGAAAAGTCATTAGCAAAAATAGGGTTACGTGTCAACGAAGAGAAGACAAAATAATATGGTTATAAGGAAGCAAAACAACGAAAGATTGTTCGCAGCCCCTTCTTAAGGATATATCAATATAATTTTGGTAGAGTGGATCAGTTCAAATACCTGGGAATGATTCTAACAGAAAATAGTGAAACAACAAAGGAAATAGAAGCAAGAATCAAGGCTGGAAACAAATGCTTTTTCGGACTAGGGAAGCTGTTAGGAGCTCGATCCCTGTCAAGAGATTTAAAGAAACAATTATACACTACCTTGATAGGACTAATTGTTACATATGGAGCAGAAACTTGGGCAATTCGCAAAACCGACGAAAACAGACTCCTCGCTTTTGAAAGAAAAATTCTAAAAAGAATTCTCGGACCTTTAAAGGACAGTATAACTAATGATTGGAGGATAAGGAAATACGAGGAGTTAGAATTATTATACCAAAAACCAAACATCGTTGAAGCAATAAGAAGTAAGAGACTATAATGGGCAGGACACGCTTGGAGAAACTAAAACCCATTAGAAAAAAACTAGAAAACTAGAAAAGAACCCTAAAGGAAAGAGACCCATTGGTAGACCGAGAATGAGATAGGAAGATGTAGTGAAGAATGGTGTGGAAGAGCTAGGAGGAGGAAGTGATTGGAAGGCACGAACAGCTGACCGAGATGGATAGAAGGCTGGATGTATAATGGGATGGTTCGAGAGGCCGCCAACACCCAAAAAAAAAAAAAACGAAAACAAAAAACCATAGTGAAAATATATCCAAATATTTAAATGGAAATCTTTGAACAAATTGTTTGAATAAGTGAAAAAATTAAGCTATCACTACAAAAAAATTTAATAAAGTGCGTAAATCTAAATATAAATTTGTCTTATTTTTAATTTATTTATTTTTCAATACATTTTTTAGAAAAGTGAAAAATAAACACCCATTTCATCGACATACATTTCAACAACAATTGTAACTATAAACTAGATTAGACGAATTTCATAAAGTAGGTATTATAGAAATATATTATATTATAGAATTATAAACTATTATACAAATTGTATTGAAATTATACTAAAAATTAACTTAGACATATCTATTTAATTAAGTTATTATTAATTTTCCGGCGCAATAGACGTATACATTTTTTCAATCCTATAATTTTTCTTTTTTTACCTGCGATTTACTGAGCAATCAATGTATGCCCGAAATATTACTCGCCAATACAAAACATTATAAAACATCATAATATTGCTCTTGAAATATTATATTATTAGTATAAAAACGCGAACTATACCAAGTTATAAAAATTAATTATTTAAATAATATTATAATATATCTCGTACACAAAACGTAACAATTATTATGAACTCGATAAAAACAAAAAAAAACTTACCGTTTTGAGACGAAACGGCGTAGGCCGAAACGAGAACGACCAACACAGTGTTGATTAAAATAAAATTGAAAACAACAAACATTTTGAGAAAGTTGTAAGTTTTGAAAGTTCCGCGATGAATATTATGTTATTGTACTGTAAATTACAGCAGAATTCGTAATATTGTAAAAAAAACGACAGGAGTAGAACACTTTACTTGTAGTGATTTCGCCACCGATTTTAACGCACACTCTTATACGCGCGTCGTATCTACTAGTCGGTCGATAACACCACTATCGTTTATTTATTTATACTAAAGATGATGATACTTTATATTGAATATACAAACAATTAGATTATGTTTTATAATAATTAATGTTTAATAATTGTTATTGTGTTATTTGTAATCGTTATATAACACCTACGGTAATTTTGGATTCCTAGTGAAACTAGGGAGTTGGTATAATAAATAGTTTTACTGAGACGGGTTTCTTTATTTTATCGGGAAACATTCTGTCGGTTAGTAAAAATGCTCAGAGTTTTTCGTGACGTACCTACCATAAAAGTTGCCGGATTACTGTCCGGTGGTATTTTGTTTAAATTCAAGTTCTTTCCTGTGGAACAAGAGTAACCCAGAAATCAACAACAGTAGAATCGACGTATCGTCACTTTATTGTTTATTTATTTATTTATTTTTTTTTAGAAAAATTATTGAGAATTTCGTAAAATGTTTCATACAAAGTACCTGATGGTATCATCAGGCAAAAACCCGCGTCTTTTAAAGTACCTAGTGAAAATGTCTTTTCTTAGGAAATGAAGTGATTAACACACGCACACACACACATACATCTTTATATAAAAATATAATAGCTTCTTAGTTCTACACTTAGAATCTAAAATATTAGTATAGTCCTAATACTTGTAATGTTAACCACGTTATTCCTACGAAAAGCGAACGTTATCTAACAATAATTGTTCGAGTCACGTCCGCGACGAACATATTATATTTTTACATTTCGATACTTCATTATAAGTAGTGCAGCCTCGTATAATTCGTCTACGTTTGCAAATTATATTTTACATACAGACTATTAATACAAATTCCGTTTTTGTAAAATCCTGTATTAAACGTTTTACAGACATATTTTTAGGCAAAATGTTGGTGTTACGTATTATGTTTACTAATGACGATTCGTTAGTTTTCTACAATTGTTTGAAGATAATTGAAATTTATCGTTTTCATTGTCACCATAATATTAATCAATTCACCAATTGTCAATAACAAAAAATGATTTTAATTATTATTGTTAACTAAAAAAAAACGTCCTAGGATAATGGGAACGGATGCAGTCACTGTTATAGGTAATTTAATGTACACCTGTAAGTAACGATTAAACATTGCTTACGAAAAAACGATTCTGAACAAAGTTCAGTAGATAGTGAAGCTTTGTCAACAATAAACATGTCGTTTTATAGTAAAATAACTAAAAAGACTTTATATATTTTCTTTAATAATATTTATTTAATGTTATACTGATTTTCTTATGTTTTTCCCAGGTTATTCACATTTGCTGATAAAATCGAAAAATGATCTCTCTAAAGTACTTCTCTAGTGAAATTTCTTTTTAGAAACATTGGTATCATTAAAATTTGGAACAAAATTGCTGGTAGAAAATTTGTCCACAGAAAAAATTTATACGTTATACAAATATATTTCGTACATTATCCCACTTTTTTTTCGGTTTTTCATATTTGATAAGAAAACTCTTGAAAAAAATCGAAAAATGACCACCTTAGAGTACCTTTCCACACCAATTTTCTTTCAGAAAATGTGCTACATATGAAAATCGGATCAAAATCTCTGGTAGAAAAGTTGTCTACAGAACAAAAAAAAAAAAATTAAACATCTTTGTAAAACCATAATCGCTCCACTCAAAATCTAACACTCGAAAATATTTAACAGAAAAAAATTAATTCGGATGTCAGTTTTTCTTGTTACATTCGTTACAGCTAATATATATATTTATAAATACACATAAACAAAACGACAGCAATATAATAAAATGTTATATTACCATTTTATCGAGTTGACGAACATCCTAAAATCTAAACATATTGTATCAAATGAAATATAATATAATACACTATTAAAATTATTCAATAATATATATATATATATATATATAAAAATAAATTAACTAATAAATAAATATGCATATGCATTTATATAAAAATACGAAATAAAGATAATAATATAATATAGGCATCGATATTTTGCGGTCGTAAATAAATTGATGCATTTTGAAACCGCTTAGAAAACCGATAGATAATAACTACCCGAAAGACTGTTGAAAATAAAAATAAAAAAATATTAATTTTGAATAAATTAAAAAATAACAATTTGGAAATGATTTGATGAGTTTTAATTATACTCATTTTTTTTTATTAAAGCGTTACCTAGTTTTGGATCAAGTTCTTAAGTAAAAAAACTAAAAATTCTGTAATTTGTTCAGAATTTTATTTTGACACTTAATGGCGCCCCATGAATGTTGAATTTTTCCATTTAAAATACACGTGTTTTTACAATGTTTAATTTCTCTCTATATTCAGTACATCCAAAAAATCTAAGCCTGTAAGAATTTGCTAACAACCAACTACCCTTCTTGAAGGAAAAAAAACTAATTTTGAAGAAGCCGTATATGTTTTTATTTTTGCTTATTTTTAAATTTATGTGTTATTCAATTCTGTCATAATTATTTTTTTCCTCCAGGAAAGGTAGTAATTAGTTGTTAGTCAATTCCTACCAGGTTTTTTCGGATATACCGAGCGTAAAGATAAAAATGTTTAAACTAATTTTCCATTGGGAACTTTAAACCTCCCCAAAAAAGCTCAAATAAGAAACGTTCTGTTATAAATACACGTTAAAACATTCTTACCTAGAATTCGCGTATTCGCCTAAATAAGTATAGTCGTCTGGATTGTCGTTGCACTTGGACTCTTCGAATTTTGTCCATCCGTCACATTTGATCGATACGAATTCGTCTTTGGACCGAATGGAACGCGCGTACAACTGAAAAGCTTTATGATGACTGCAAACTTCCCCATGCACTGAAAAATAAAACTGCGATGCACTAGATATCAGACGGAAATCTGACTGAAACGAACACAATGTGTTTATAGCTTGTATGTGTTACCGGGATTATGAATAATCCGACATTATTCATAATGCCAAAAAACGGAAGACAATAAACATTATAATTATCATATTGACTACAGGTTTTATGAACAATGTCCAAAGTAAACTATGCAATGTATTATATTATAATATAATACCTTAATATTATTAAAGGACATCACAATACTAAATTTTTTTTTTTTAATTTTAAGTTTATTGGTGTATTAATGTAGTGAACATAATGAAAAATTTTTTGGTAAAAATCCAAAATTAAAAACATTGATTATTCAACGAGATAATAAGAGTTGATGAATAGACATGTGATATCATAGAGCCGACGACTGAGCAACCGTCTATGTTTTACGTGTAAAAGTAATTTGATTTATACAATGATTTTAATAACTTAAAATAATACTTCCGAATTTTTTTTTCATAATCCTAAGTATATTTATATGCTTAAGACAATGGTGTGATTTAAAGTTTAATATATCTTGTTGTTGCATACATATTATAAATTATAGTTTAGTAAAATTATTGAGTTTGCGACTCGCGTCGTATTGCCACATGACACATCCCAGTGGCACAAACCAAATTGTACGAAATTGACTGTAATAGTTTTATCTACCATTAAAAAACTAGAAAGAATATCAAAATTATAATTACACCAGTGTTATAAACAGAAAAAAACACTTAAGGTTACATAAAAAAAATTTAAAAAATATTATATTTAACGATTGAAATCGTTGTGTTAATCTAAACACTTTTGCACGTAAAACATACGCCATCGTTCTGATTTCGGCTCTATGACATCACACGCATATTTTCAAACGCCTATATCTCATTGAATAATTAGTGTATAAGTGTGAGACCCATACCAAATTTCTTAAATAATGACATACTTCAAATCTAAGCAAACTTGTTTTTAGTGTTATAATGTCCTTTAAGGTACCTATATCGTTTTAACGACTTTTGAGTTGAAATGTAAATATATAAAGATACGGAAATACTTCGCATGATGGACGGGTCATTGTTGTATGTGAAAAGTTAGGAAGATAGGAAATATACGGGAATTTAATGTATATCTGTGTGCAATGGTTAATCTTTACTAACGATTCTGAGCGGAGTTCAATTATACGTGTTTTAAAAGACCATAAATTTACAATTTGAAAATAATACATTCCGCACATTTTCCCGTTTTCCTACAATTTTTGCCGGTTTTCCCAATTATTATGAAAACCACTTAGAAAATCAAAAATCGACCTCCTTAGAGTACCACTTTCAGAAAAAGTACTATACTTTAAAATCAGAGCAGAATTGTTGGTAGAAAAGTTATCCACAAAAAAATAAATAAATAAACATCATTGTACAACTCACTCCGTTCAGGATCTAAAAATGAAATGGAAATTCAGTTTATTGTCTAACCGGACATAGGACCGGATATACCCGGTTAGAATAGCGTAGAATGGGCAAACCAATGATATTTAAAATATGTTATTATCTACTTGGATGGATGATGAAAAATACCCTTATTGGAATGAAGGCCTACACAAAAAATGAAAAATCGAGCACACCATTCAGCTACTAAAATGACACCGTACGATGCTTTAGTATCCGAAACTAAAGTTAGGTTGTACATCAAAATATTTAGCTAAAGAACTAATAATAAATATTAAAAATAAAGAGGAACTAACAAAATTATGGAAGAAACTACTGAGGAATATTTCGAAAATAGACCATTAAAAATATTAAATGAAAGAAACTAACGAAAATAGCAACAATTTTGAGAAAAAGAACCAAATACTAAAAAGTATATTTTTTAAAAAAATAATTTAAAATTGAATTCTAAGTTTCTTCTTCACTCACGCGTAACAATAAATAATGTTTATAAAAAATAAATGTTTGTAAATTCAATTTTGAAGAAAAACAATATATCTATATTATTTATATAGCGTATGACTGTGTAGGCATTTTGTAAAATAACTAGTAATTTCATACAACGCCTATAGGAAAATCTGATAATGGAATTTAAAAATAACAAATAATAATAATAATAATAATGTATTTTCCCTAAAATCACCGTAATTATTGTATTCACAACCGGGTTGTTCTGTATTCCCGCCGTTCGGATAGAAATCGATGTTTCCTATTGGATTGTGTTGTCCCAACACCCAACTCGTCGTATGAATTATGTCCACGAATTTTGCGTCGTTTTTGTTGAGCCGTTTGTTCAGTGACTTAATGTTGAACAAAGGTTTAGCCGGATCTAAACCTTAAACGTGAGTCACACGTAAATATTCCAAAAAAAAAAATCGTATGATATTCAAATATCGATTAAACATAATACTAAATTAATATTAATTCCACGGTGCTATAATAAATTGAATCCGATGAGAATGTTGAAATTCAAAAAGCGTTATGATAAAATACTATTACAAAAATCAGGTACTTTATCGAGTCGATCGGTCGAATGAAGTACCTAGTTGTCTGTCGTCCATAACCCGAAAAAATAATATGTATAAATATATATATACAAAAAAAACTTTCCCACACCCGGAAAAAAAGAACAATTTTAAAATGTTGAATATAATGATTGATTGTTACATAAAAAAAAAAAAATGATATTAAATTTATATTATAACACTAGAATACTTGAAATTTTAGTGACTTTTGACAGACTATACATTTAGTACAATCAAATAAAAGCATGAAAGTCTGAAAAGGTCTTTATAGGTAATTTCAATGAATGAAAGGAATGAATGGTACATAGCAACCACTCATTATTTTGAAAAGTTTTAACTTTTTTGAAAATATTTTTTTTTGTATACATTTTTCAATTAAAACACCAACATTCTCATCAAATTAGAAAAACCGAAAAAAAAAAACAGGAAAATGTAAGAAATGTAGGTAATAACTAAAAATCTGATGGTCTTTTTTTCCTGTGAACAATTTTCTACCAGTAAGTTTGCTAAAAATTTCAATGATAGCAATTTGTCTAAAAGGAAATTTCATTAAGGAAGTACTTTACCTGAGTTTTCTCAGAAAATGTAAAAAGTTGTGAAAAACCGGAAAAACGTAGGAAAACCGGGGAAATCAGTACAAGATTAAACAAATATTATTAAAGAAAATATATAGATCCTACTTAATTAACTTACTATAACATGGTATATATTGTTGACAAAGCATGATTATCAATTAAACTCAGCTCAGAATCGTTTTTTCGTAAACAATGGTTTATCGTTGCTTACAGATATACATTAAATTACCTATAACAGTCACTGCACTCGTCCCCATTATCCTAGGAGGTCTTTTTAGTTAACAATAATAATTAAATTTTTTTTTTTAATTTTCATAAATAATTAGTACATTTTAAATTTTAAAATTGTTGTTCTTTTTTCCCCGAGAATTTTTTTCCAATTATCCTTTAAAACACATTTATCATCTACCTACGTACAAGAAACCCATTTAAAAGTTTTGCATTTAGCACTGACGAAACCGAATAAAATATACACCCAATTATAAATATTAAAATATAATAAATTATGTACAATTATAAACGTTTTCAAAACGCATACAATTTCTTGTATTTGATTGCAACAATGTAAAGTGTATTTACTACCTATACGAAGTAATCCATTTGAGTGCGTACACTCATTATCTCAGAAAGTATTAACTTATTCCGGAATTTGTTTTCTAGAACATTTAAGAAACAAGCTGCACTACAATTTTATATTCATGTTATTTTTTGTCACTCTTATATTTGGATGTAAAACCACTTCTTGCTTTTGATTTTTAAATGGCAACTTATATTAAAAATTCCATTAAAAGATGGAATATTAGTTAAAATAAGCTATAGTGTTGACATTTTTGATTTCCGTCGATCCGTTAACGAGATATTCCACTTTTAAGTTTGTTTAGAGGAGAGTAGTGGAGAATCATTAATGTGGCGGTACGGCGCGCGGCGTGTTAATAATACACCACTACCCTCCTTCAACCTAAAACTAAAAGTGGTATATCTCGTCAACAGCTTGACAGAAATCAAAAATTTCAACACTATAATTTATTTTAACTGATACTCAATATATTTGAGGATTTTTTAATATAGGGTGCCATTTGGAAATTAAAAGTAGGTAGTCGTTTTACTCCCAAAAATAATGTTCTAGAAAACAAATTCCGGAAATATTTAATACTTTGCGAGATAATGAGTATACTCAACTAAATTGATCACCTGGTAGTTAAAATACAAAAAAAATATGCACTACAATGAAATTAATAGTTCCATGTGACTATATCCATAATTAACTAAAAATCATTGAACTATCAAAATAAATGTAGGAATTAACCTTCTACAAAATGTGTTATTTCCTGTGTAATTATTATTTTCTTGTATCCATTATTTGGTTTACGGAAATAAGTTATTAATTAATTATTCAGCAGTTTTTATATTTTGAAGTCACCGAAGAATTGTACTTTGTGACTCGCAAGCGTATATATATTATTTTTCATTGTTAAAGGACGATCAAGCAAGTCCTAATAGAGGGTCAAAAGGGATGATCGACTCCCCCCTCCCTCAGTGCATCATAATTTCACAAGATAAACTAATATCTAAAATTCTATGGTTGTAATTTTGAGAAAAAAAATTGGTCTCTAATACATTTTGAATGATTTAAACATTGGTAGATATTTGATGTATAATCGTTTAGGTATAATTGATGACGACCAGAAACGCCGTATATTTTGTGTAAAAATTGCCTTGTGAGAAAAACTCTGACGCCTTGTATAATAGTTGGATTTTGATGAATTTTTTATTTTAATTTAATTTTTTTTATATTTTAATATAACTACTTATGTATAATTAAACCTATAATTTATAATATGTAACTCTCTACTTCTAACACAAGTTTCGCTTAAAGGAAGTAGATATACCAATTTATATATTATATACTATTTACTTCTAAAAAAAGCAAATTTTAAAGATGATATGCTTTTTTGTAAGTTTTAAGTTGTACTTTTTGTAAGTGAATTCCAATTTTCAAAATTCAAATTCTTATAAACTGTATTAAGCATTTAAAAAATTTAAATTTTTGTTATTGTTTTTAACCTTTTTTACTGACACTAGTGCACTACATACTGTTATCAAAAATTGGAGGTCAATGATACAATTAAAAAGTTTTGTACCTATGAATAAAAAAGATATTGAAATTGGAGCGTTTTACGAGGTATTAAAGGTTTCTCCTGCAGTTATTTTCAAACACCTTCCCCCAAAGTGGATATTAGGTAATAGATTATTGGAAAAGTCTTATCTTTAAGGAAGTCATTATAAAATTTTAAAATTTTAAACTTTTACAAAACTAGAGGAAATTTGGAAAACCGGTTCAAACAACATAATGATCGACTTATCATACAGAATACAAATTTCAAGGGGAATTAAGTTAATTTTGAAAAGATAAGCCCCCTATTCTCTCAATCACCAACCTATGGCATTCACATATAATTTTTTATTTCACCCCCCCCCACCCCGTGGGATTGTCCTGAAGTCATTCGTGGGCCCAAGGATGTAACTTCATGATTTGTTTAATATTTGTACGTATTATTATCAATTAAAATATTACTCAACATTATGCGTAATATATTTTTATATTTGTTTGTTTCGTCAATAATGTTCAAATTAGCTGTGACACTTAATCTTTTATGAAAATAGTATATTAATATGAAGAACAAAGTAAATATTATTGGACACGTTTTGACAGTTCGTTTTTTCTTTAATTTATTTCGTTAATATTTTTAATTGAAATGCACTTCAACAATTTAAGTTTGATCTGTGTGAACTTGATTATAATAATAAATTAATATTCTATCTTCCGCTTGAAAAAGACAAACATATTATTTGATCAGGTAGAAGTATTTAACATTTTTAATCTATTCATATACGATATAGTATATCTATTGTTGTTTTTGTTTATAATTGAATTGTTTACTGCTGATTTAGTAACTAATTTTTTGTAATTTTACATGCACTACGCCTGGTGAATCTTACATCGTAAAAGTTACAAAATTTGATGTAGAAATACCCCACGTGTTTTTCTTAAACATTTAAAATTAATGTGTATAAAATTCAGTTTAATCGACCCCTAGCGCCGTTCTCACCAATATAAAAAAGGCGTTTATCTTAAACTGAGTTTATAAAATAATGGACCAATTGTGGTCGGTTATCAGCCGTGAATTCAGTTTAAAAATTAACGTTTACGTTGGTGAGAACGGGCCTTAGACGAATCCCAAACTCGTTTATCTTGATATTAGTTTTTCATACTTTGCTATACTAATCTCAAAAACCGTTCTATTAACGATGAAAGTGTTAATAACTATTATTATTATAATCACTATTTTTAAATACAAATAGATTTATATTTATTCGTTATAAATACCAGTAATCCTATGTATTTGGCCATTAAGTCGTTTACCGGCATAACCTGCAATGTGAGCTCCCATGCTAAACCCGATAATATGAATATCGTCGGTATCTTGCGACGTATGTTTGGTCAACATCAGTACCAATTCGGCAACGTAATTTCCGATTTTTTTGCACCGATATCGGGCCGTGAAATACGCCAAATCCAACGCCAGCCAAGTCCAGTCAATGCATATAACGTTATAGTTGCCCAACTTAAAATATTCTAAAAAAAAAAAAATGCACCACAACAATCGATTAGTTACTTAGTCCCTTAGTCATAGGTACCATTATTCTAAACTTTAGAATAATGGTACCATAGAATCTAAACCAATTGCTATTATTATCGATGTTCTTCGGTTAGATTACAATTTGATATATCGTAAAATCGGTTTTATTTTAATCGTTATCGTTTTCTAATATTAGTATTTGACTGCTTATTTTAACAGATAATTTGAAAAACAAAATAAGAGTCATACGACAGCTTCACTAGCTGTATGTGTGTATACATTTATATTTAGATCGTCGGTCAAGTAAAATATTTTGTGGTCCATCAGAATTAATCCTATCTAAATCATAAACAAATTTCAAATATAAACGAAATTAAAAATGTTTATTTTTTTAAATATTCTCATTTTTACCTAAAATAAAATTGCTTTGAAACATATAATTAAAGTGTTATCGAAAGAACAGAATTTACTAAACGAATAATAATGATAAACACTACATATATTTCATTTTTATTTTCTACGGTATCCCGGGTTTTTTTATTTTTTTAATTTTAAACAGAGCAGAAATGCTATTTGTTATAAAATGTATAATTTAGTTTCTGGGCCGTTTATATCTGTTAGATCCAAAATATACTGGCGTCCTGACACTTATAGTGTTCTTTGTGTTCTTTCCGTGTATTTTGGCTATAGTATAGAGTATAGACAATTTCTTCTTGACATGTTTAGATGCGTCGTAGTTTTTGTAATTTGTAGTGTCTCGGCCGCCAAGACATAAAAAGTATTATAACTATAGTAGACCATGTACTTTTTCAGCAAACGCACCTAAAATCGTATACATAGTAGACGATTTCGCGTGCCCGTATACGCCTGTCAGTAAAAACATTTAAATCGCACCGCCGTCGTCAATTTCAGAACCTTTTAATTTTTATTTTTGTTTAAAGCGAGTTTCAAAATACCAGGGTTTATTTCGTTCGCGTAAACCTATGCGAAACATGCGGTCGTCGTAAGACCTTTTTCGTGACTTAATGCTCTGTCAACGTGAACGGCATAATATATTTTGTTTGCTATTTCGATATTATTCTTATGTTCGATGGACGTGAAATCCACCATCAACATACGTACTGTCCTTTTGGAGGTTTTAATTTTATTAAATTTTATGGTGTGCAGTCGTTCATATCGTTTGTCTTTTGAACAAATAGAAATTATCTTATTGTAACTGGCTAGTAGTTTTATCGTTTCGATTAGCCGGCAAGTATAATAATGTCATTATCACCTATGACCGCTATGTACTACTAAGTACCACTAACCGATTGAAAATAATGGCTAGGTGTCCGTATTTAGGAACGACTCGAACGTTATAATATAATTGCAGTTAATCGTTTAATTGCTCGACAACTGTACGCCGATATTATTATATTATTGTGTAACGTTGTTGAACTATTGTTTATAACAGTTTTCCTTGATGGTTCTACAACAGCGTGTCACTTCCGCGTATGCGTATAGATCAGTAGAATGAGCGCATATATAACGAACGACAAAACATAAATGGAACGGCAATAAAACACGTGGGTCGCACGAGATAATCGTTAATGTTCATTTTAACACACTCGTGTGTTTCGGAGAATTAATGCGCGCAACAACGTTAAGAAGGCAACTATAATAACTAACGGATGGGTAATCGGACGGTATTTTACTAAAAACAAAATCATAAATTAATTGTCATTACAGGTACAAATTGCGAAAAAACTTGAAGAAAAAAAGTTGTCTTAGGATAATGGGGACGGATGCAGCCACTGTTGTATATGGGAAGTTGGGGAGATAGAAATTTAATGTATCTATTAGCTGTAATATGTAATCAACGATGATCATAAACTATTGCTAATGGAAAAACGATTCTAAGTCTAATTCAATTGATAGTGATGCTTTGTCAACAATATACATGAAATATTATGGTAAAATAATTAAATATGCAATATATATTTTCTTTAATAATATTTGTTTAATGTGTCGTTTTTTCCTGATTTTCCCGGTTTTTCACATTAGATGAGAAAACTCCTGAGAAAATCTAAAAATGACCTCCCCAAAGTACTAACCCAAGAAAATTTCAATGGTCTATATCAGATGCATCGGAGTAAGCTTTCTGATAAAAAAAAAAGTGTTCACATAAAAATAAAAAATAAAATAAACATCTTTGTAAAACCAATAAATTCTTCACTCAGAATCTAAAGTGTATACTACTAGGTACAATCGAGAATATAAATTTCAATTCTCCTACAGAGACATACCTGTATCGTTTAGAACACGAAAGCGATATGCGTTGCGTTAAAATTTAAAATAATATATTGGTTTGCATTCGTGCACCTTCGTATCATTGGCTGAGTCGAATAATAATTATACGGCCTAATTAAGTGCGAAGTATGTCCACTTGCATTGTCCAGTTTATCGGTTTTACTTTTTTACGCGTACATATTTTTCACAGATAAAGTGATAAATTCGGTGGTATAGACACTCGTCTCGCTTCGTCGCGCCCCGGCTCGGTAACGGCGCAGAACAGTGTTGAAATGTTATTTAAAATAATTTTAACGCAATAATTATTACATATTATGTTATGCCGTGCAGATACGAAAAACCAATATTTAATCTACGACGAATAAATATAGGTACTACTATCATCGTAGACTCTGTAGTATAAAAATACACGAATATCCAGAAAACTGTACTCGGATAAAGCATAAGTAAGCATTATATATAAACAAAAAAATAATAACAAAAAATACTATGTCTAATCGTCCCGATTTTACATTAGAATGTTATATCTGTAAACAATGTAAATTATGAGTATTTAAATATACATAATATTATATACAAGATATTTCGATATTTATATTGTATTATTTATTATTATGATGCACCCGAAGTTATAGCGTTTTTTTATCATTAATATTTGCTGTACATATATAGTGATTATATATTTTGTGACACAATATACTTTCCGTACTTCTAACGTAACCAACGTGTACATTTCACAATACAAACATTATATTATATTTAAGTAGATTATACAAAAAACAAAATGTGGGTTGGTCTTAACCGCATAAGTAGGGCACCAAAGAGTAAATGCGAAAATGCGTATGTTTTCGTGTAATATTCTAAAACCATTGAATTCCAATACGCCGGAAATACCTCTGAATCAATAACACACTGAAAATCATTTCGGCATTCATACAACACATTACCAAAGGCGTAACTAGAAATATTTTTCTATGTAAGCCAGATAAAATAACATAAACGTTTGAATAGAAAAGACTATACTAATACATATTTTAGATTCTGAGTGGAGCAAAGAAACTTATAGTTTGACAAAGATGTTTTTTTTTTTTTTTGTTCTGTGCACAACTTTACTACCAGCAATTTTGCTCCAACATTTAATGAGAGAAAATTTTACTAGGAAGGTATTTTAAAAAGGTCATTTTTTGATTTTCCCAATAGTTTTCTCGGCAAATGTAAAAACCTGGAATAAAACATGGGAAAACCAGGAAAAAAGTAGAAAAACTGGGAAAATCTGTACAATATTAAACAAATTTTATGAAAGAAAATATATAAAGTCTTTTTAATTATTTTACTATAAATGGTATGTATACTGTTGATAAAGCATCACTATCAACTGAACTTCACTCAGAATCGTTTTTTCGTAACCAATGGTTTATCGTGACTCACAGATATACATTAAATTTCCGTCCATATCCTACCTTCCCAACTTCTCACCTACACCAATGGCTGCACCCGTCCACATTATCTTACCTTTTTTTTTGATTTTAAAATTATGATAATTTCTGAAGAAAAGCGGGTAGAATCCCGGCCTATATCAGGCCTTTACGCTGGCTACACCACCGTAGATTACATTTTTAAAATAAATGTCGATTATGAAATTTGTTCGATTTTTTTTAAACTATTGAGCTGCACGACCGTTTTAAGGAAATCGTTTAAAATATTATTTTATAATATATTAGACAATTTATACAATTTATTGCGGATTTGGAATAAATATATCTTAACAATGTATGTAATAAAACATTTTTTTTGTTTAAAATATTATTATCTGAAAAGAGGCTATAATAGTTTCATAATATTTTTACAATGACAAGCACTTACAAAAATATTATATATCTTTGCAAATAATGATAATGCAAAGACCGCGGTTTTGTTTCCATATTCTCGAAAACGTCCATTATAATAATTCTACTGTTATCAGTGTTATCTCACATGGGATTGGCAATCGAAAATACGTGAAATATTCGACACTAGTGTATTGTATTATTTTAAACTAAAAATTTAATAAAAAATATAAAATAAAAACTGATACTAATCTCGGATAGACCCATTTGTAGATGGTTAGTTGGGAAGGTAGGATACATGGGGTTACTTAGTTTATACAGAGGAATATGTTACAATAAATCATTACAAATGGAAAAAAAAACGATTCTGTGAGGAGTTATGTTTTTTTTTCCTTTGTTAATGAAGTAACCCAGAAATCAATAAATATCAAAGAGAAACAAAAAAGACCAGCCTCTCCCTACCCCCCACAGGGGAATTGCTGAAAATGTCGATAAATATTTCAAATAAAGTACTGCCAGACGGAAATTTCGCATATTTTGAGAAACTACGTGAAAGAATTAGATCATTTGCCTATTCAAAAAAAAAAAAATGTTGAAATGGAGCAATTTATTTGAAAAAGTATTGAGAATTTCGAAACATAAAAATGTTCGAAAAAATCCGCGTGTTCCAAAGTAAGTGTGGCATAAAAGACCAGAGCTCCGAGGAAAAAAACACATCTCTGTAAAACTACTTAGTAACTTCTTATTCGTTACATTTACTCAAAATCGAATATATTTTTATTCATCAGTTATTAATACGCGTCCCTCATTCCTCATCGACCTTCCGATCCGATAAAATCGATTTGTCCAAAAATCACATCATTAATACAGACACGTCAGTTTTACGCACCGTCTACCCGGCAAGTAGATTTGTTCATACTATTCCTATGGGATTTTCGTTCGTCAGAACGATGACACCGTGAAGTTTGAACGGAACGGTTTTCACTCTTAAATCTGAATGAATGATATTCTGACCGCCGGCATAATAAAATCTATATACGGACGTGTTTAATTAAAACGAACCAGTGTAACGCATTAAACAGGGTGTCTTGTTGGCGTGTGTACTGGTGTCGAATTGCGCGGCGGACATTAAGAACTGGCGGATTATCTCACGCAAGACTGTTGAATGTGTTTTGTTTTTTATTTTTATTTCACGAGTTGGTTTACAATATTATACGAACGCCCGGGACGGAAGGAATATCGCTAGCTCAGCATCCGTGTAGGGGCCCGGAAGGTGTGTGTCCTTGGCCGCAAAAGGCTCTCTGCCGAGTCGGTTGAAATTTCGAATTTTTTTCTCCTACCCACTATATAGAATATCGTACGGAAAATATTATAGTTCACTTTAACAATTTGTTTTCTTTCTGTGGTTCAAACGATATTGTGTCAATCGCGAGACATATGATCCGTATTGATAACACTGCAGCCTACGCAACAAATCGTTAATTCGTCAGATGTCAAAGTGCTATACCGCATTATTATATATACTTATAATAGCGATTCGTGAAACGATGTAGAAATAATTTTTATTTCGAATGTTGGTGAAATAAATATTACTGATTATTATTTATAATCTCACCGAATTTTAAATTCGAACAGATGCTTTGTAAGCTTTTGCTATTGCCCAGCCAACCGTGTATTATGATTTTTGTCGGTTTGCTCTCGTTAAAATCCGACGACATCAAAGTGCCCGGATCGCCGGGCACCAACTCGTAGCCCGACTGAGATTGATTTCTGCAAACATGAATAAAATATTACCAATAAAGTGCATATAATATTTTAGTAATATTTTGCATATATACAATATGTTTCATAATTTCATCCAATATTGTTTATAGAATTTGAAAAACAAAAAACTATTAAATGAACAATAAACTTTTTAGATTTTATTTAGATTGAGTCTTTTAATCTCATTTATCTAAGTGCGTATAACCGAGTCAACACGGAGTATAGGAAAGTTTTTATCTTTCCCTTCAAGCACTATTCACGTAAGCGAAGGTGCTGAATTATTTGATGTTTATATAGATGCCTAATTAACAGTGTTGGAAAGTAGTTGAGTATAATAAGTATCCATATATATTTTTAAATACTCAAATACGAATTTTATGTACTTTTTCAAAGTATCAGTATTTAAAATCAAATCCTAATATTTAAATACTTTTTCTGTTTATTTAATATATTTTTTTTTTTAGATATGATCACGTTAATTTGTTTTTATTGATTTGCTTATTACTGTCTACCGACAAATTCCAATAAATTGCATGGAGTTTATGAGAAAGATCAATATTTTGGAGGCATAGGGAACACCAAGAAACAGTAAACCAATTTACGCATCTACGCATTTACGCATAAAGGCATAAGTTTTTATTTATATTATCTTATGGAAATGAAATATTAATTTTAATACCTTTTTTCACAATCAAGATATTTTTGTTGTGTCACAACCCAACTGACAATTCAACTAGCTGGTTAAAGAAACAGATGAGTAATTTATAGAATAATCGAAGTTGCCTTACAAAACCCTATTCAATATTTCACAATAATAATATTATAATAAACAGTGCATAGTAGTAGTCTGCACGTGAATATTATTATTTTAATTAAAATACAGTCTATATAAAAAAAAAAAAACGCTCAAATTTCGTCAAACCGTATTATTAAAAAATTCTAAACTATTTTATAATGGTTTTTATTTTCTTCTTACCTCGTGTACAACCAAAAAGTCACCAAGTCTTTTACGGTGAATGAAAAATATTTTGACACTAAATGTTTGTTAAGTGCATTGACACCTTTTGTTCCACGAACTAATTCTTCAAACGTGTTCACTTTAGACGACTCTAGAAAATAGTATAATATAATATAAAAATGTATTTTTTTTTTTTCACAATACCGTGTGTAGGACACATGTGGCGTAATTAAATTGTATTAGTTTTTCAAATTCATATAATATAATATTATGGTTTATATCACCTGATAATAATTTTATAATTTTCTCATCAAATATTTTTAAAAAAATACCATACTTTTTTTAAACCTAATGTCGGCACTAATTTTTAAATGTATTATGGATCTGTATTTGTATTTGAATGCATTATAACTTATTTCCAATTTTCTAAAATTTTAAAATTGTCATCAACATTTTTATAACTATAGGTCCCTTAAGTACAACAAAACGAGACTTTCCCATTAATCTACTGCCCAACACCCATTTAGAGGGAATAGTGACTTGTGGAAATTGGTTGGCACAAATACAGCACATCTTAAATGTGGTGATGCAAGTATATATTATTACACCACTAGGCAATCATTTAAATGTATATACCTACAATCTTTATTTTTAAAAGTCTATATTTTTTCCTAAACAAGTATCTATAATTTTTCTTCAAACGTTATAATAATAAAGTTTTTACTATTAAAATAATTCAATACTTATTATATATTTATTTCATAAAATATTGTATACCTACAGAAAAATAAATTGTCTATTAGGTGATAATTTACAAAGGAAGGTAAAGTATTGGTAAGTTAAAAATTAAAAGATTTTTCTGCACCACCAGGAATTTAAACCAATTTACGCCACTGAATAGTGATACAGTCATTTTTATGGACTAAAATTACTTCGCGTAAATAATTCATTGTAAAAATAATACTTTCCAATAATTTTTAATTGGCAAACAACAACATTTTACAAACCAAATTTGACTCGGATATTTCATTTTATTTAAAATAATGGTATAAAAAGTAGAAAAAAAGTTCTAAATTGACTTTATTAATGACGTACTATAGAGTATAAGATGGAAATATTAAACAACAAAGTTCATAGCAGCTTGTAGAAAGTCTCCCTCTTTCGAAATGTAAAAATAATCATCAAAATCGGGCCTGAGAATTTTTCCCGTAAGGCATATTCCTTACCGAAAAACACGCTGGCATCGGGCTCCTTAACTTATTCACTTCATTTTTTAGAGAGAGAAAACTGACTTTGAGGAAAGAATTATTTATTGCTGTTCGGGGAAAAATAAACATCTGTGGCCCGCGAGCACGTGTGCTCCTAAATTATATTATTCTGTGTTTCGTGGTAAATTACTCTATTTTTTTTATTTTTTTTAATATCATGGAAATTGGTACCCACCTATAATAGCTAGACATTAAAGATTTAACAAATTCGTATACATTTACACTCTAAACAGACTACATTTTATTTCGTCGAACGACGTAGGTAAACTAATCATGACTCGGGAACCTTTTTTGTTTCGCTCATAAAAAAATCTTCGTGAAAATCGATAAAAATAAATTTTTCTAAGCCAATAACTACATGCCAAGAGCTAAAAACAAAATACTTCATGGTCTGATTTAATAATTGTTATCCAATACATCTAATAAATTATACAATAAAATATTTAATATTTTTGAGTATCACGATTATACTCGTAATTTCGTATAATAATAATAGTATTGCGAAAGTTGATACCAATTATTGATATACTCAAGCAGTTTGGCCTATACAAATTTTGCGATTAAAACAGTTTATAAAGAGGAGAAAATATTCATCAAATTTTCTACTTTCGTGATATAATATTCTTTGAACATTGAAATTGGCATCAACATTTCATTGAGTAGTCTCTCTAAACTTATGTCTATAATATTGACTGTGGGGATGTATCACCCAAAATCGAAATCGGTCAAATATATTATTACGAACAAGTTTTACGACGAGTTTTAAACTTTTTTATTGAATTTTATTTATTATAATTAATAATTATGTGAACCCAATTTTTACAATAGGTATGTGAAAAACATAAAAAAAACAATATAAAATATATAGTATTGCGAGAGGTAAAATATTGATTTATGCGATTAAATTACTAAAATATAAATTAAAGGATACAACAGAGTTACAAGTAAAGATATCAATATTTAAATTATTCACATGTTACGTGGTTCTAATATTAAAGGAAAGTTTTTACTATATAATATACACTGGAATGGCAGATAAAAATTGTCAGCCGGCTTTGTCGTATAACCAGGAACTGAAAATGTAAATTTTAATAACAGATTTGGACATTAATTATAGCCATTCAATAATTTGTACATAAAACAGACATACTGTTTTATCATTCTAACTGGTAGAGTGTTAATTTTTAAACATAACGATAAAGATTTATATGATGTGTAAGGCAGACGTTGAATATTACATCTAATACTTAAAGGTCTTAAAAAGCCATTGTGAATCGCCTCAAGAAAATGAATTGGACCAGTAGAGTAGGGAGACCAAATTATTATTAGTTATAATCTAAATCTGACCGAACAAAGATGCAGTAGAGTGATTTAAGGGCTAGTAAATTTTTTTAAAAAATAGAGACTATTGCACTGCTGCTATGTATTATGTCTGATATCAAGGGTGATTCACTAAGCGTGCTTACCCGAATTTCGTTTGAGTTTTGCATGTATTCGAATTCTGATTTTTAGAATTTTCAAGTAAAGTCTCCCTCTACCTAAACTTAAAAGAGGAATATCTCATTAACGGATTGACGAATTGACGGAACAGTTTTAAAATCAAAATTTATTTGAACTAATATTCCATCTATTTATGAAATTATTAATATAGGTTCTCCTAAAGTTAGTATCGCTGCAGGGTACTCCTTAATTTCGTGAAAAATCTAAGTATTCCAAAATATCGGCCTTAAACTACACTTAAAAATTCCAAAATTTAAAATTTGAATATATTTAAAATTTAACCATGTGGTGAGTACGCTTAATGAATCTTCCTGTAAATATTTTTATCCTATTACTTTAGAACACATTTATCGGCTCCACATGGACCATATGAGCTGGGGAGAGTTCAAACTAAAGAGCTAAAGTTTTTTTATTATTAGTAGATTGCAGTGATAACATTTAATTTTAACATGAATTTCACCATATTACGAAAAAAAAATGGTGGGTTTTAGCATGTACACCCCTAAATGAAACCAGGTGAATATGCATAGTGTAAATATCAATAATGTGCTACATAACGGCTTCAACTTTGATTTCCCTCACCAACTATACTTATACTCAAATTTCATGGTTTCACATGCAGGAAATATCGGGTTTTGAGAATACAACTATGGACTAAAAAAAGTAAGCAATGGGGTTAAAATGTATATAATGTAATAGCATTGTTGACGGGAACGTGTTTTTAGAAGATTTCAACTTCTAACCCCCCACCTCTACCTTTTAGTATGAAATCTCCAGAACTACTTTGCCCAATACAACTTTTATACGATTCTTTATCGTTGGAAAGTTATAGGATATGTTTTATATTTACACCTGAAAGTGGGATGAGGTAGCAAACCGGAAACACTCCCTTTTTTTTCTCGTAAAAGGAAAATAACTATAAATATGTGATTGAACTCTGGCAACCTTAACTGATTTTATATACCAATTATAAAAATAAAAACATGTAATGGCAGCAAGTCGACTGAGGGAGTATTGTGTATAGTACCAAAATTTCGATGATTTTCGAACTCACCGATAATCAAAACGGATATTTTAAATAATAAATTGTTATTCAAAATGCAGTTTCGAAAATGTTTCGGATTTTATGATTATAATTATTGCACATCGTAGACCGTGCACTATAATATATTGTGCGTTAGATTTATTCTCTAACTTTTTTTTTTTTTTGTTTCGGATGGTGCTCGATAAATAATAATTAATATACCGAAATGAAGAAATGAATATAAACTTCAACATTATTATAAATATTATTAATATTAACATGTTTATTTTGTCTTCAAACAGTTTTACTAAAATTAATACATTTTAAAAATAATTATGATGATTGTAAAATGATATTCATCGTTAACTCGTTCATAAGTAATTGAACACAAAATTAAAAAAATTGTTTTATATTTTTATAATGGTCAACGTGATTCAATATATGTCAAAAATTAAATTAATAAAATATCAACTTTCAATAGTAACACGATACATATTTTATACTGGTGAAAATCAATTCTAAGCGAAAGTTTGTTTTTTTTTTTTCACAATAATATAGGTAATAAATATACGAAAAACAAAGTTGATACCGCACATTACAGCAATGAGTATAATTATTAGAAGTAAGATAAATTTTAATATAAAACATAAATTAATTAATCTACGATTATGTGTAATATTGATTACAAGATAGTGGCGGGCAGTGGCGTGTTATCAAATATAAAGTATAATATTATTACCATAAGAACACGAATATATTTGCGCTATCCTACGTCTTAGCGGAGAAGCTTCACAGTATACATTTAAGATTTAATAACATTTCATTAAATTCGAAAAATCTATTGCGTAATACTTTCAGAAGAAATAGGAATTTTAAGGACAATACATACATTGTCATTGTGTATCAAACCTAATCTACTTTATGAAAACGATTGATAATTGATGATTTTTCGCGAAGGTCGAGGCTAGAAAAACGAGTAGTCGCGCGTCATTGTGAAAAACAGTACCTATACCTAAGTATTCTGTAGGAAAACAAAGTAGGTAAAAGTACTTAAAGTATTGTTAAATTTTCTATTTACGATTACGTATTATTTTGTAATGTTTGAAGTACCTACCTACTATACTTATAGATATATATAAAAAAAAACCTGTATTGCCGGCTGGCGACTGTACAATATGATAAAAGGAACAGAGTGTGGCAGTAATTTACCAAGTGGGCAAACTATATATTGATAAAATATATGTTTACGCGATGAATATTATGTGACGAATGATGATATAAAAATCAAGGTACTTGATAGAACTTACAATTTCAAATAATTTGCACATTATAAAATTATCACGAATGACATAAACAAATATCACACGGGTTAATCTATTTACCCTGTTGGTATATTATGACTGCCAGGCTTCCCAATTGCTCATAGGGTCGGTTGTCTAATTGATTTTTTTTAATAATATACCTGCGACGGTGATAATATTATGCCCGGACAAAACAGAATATGTGAGTACTCCGCGCGTCATTACGAGTACATAACCTTGACGACTCGCGCCGTTTAACCGGAATAACAGTGTCTATACATATACCACACGGGAGATAGCTTTTTCGCGTGTACACGTTCGTTGGAAAAGTAGCCATAGTCCGGGGATATAGAGAATTATTACTTTTTTCCCCCCATTCCCATGCGCCGTCAAATATAGTCTTCGCCGATTGTTTCAAAAAATACTTAACAATAATAAACAATTATAGGGTTGTTTTTCACCCCTGACCCGATTAACGGGCGAGTATATAACAACTGAACGATACAATAAACAGTATATATTAACAATATATACGAACCATAAAAACCACTATTATACATCTGTCGTAAATGTTGAAGGCGCAGTTATTTTTTTACAGTGCGTGTATGTCATCGAGGAAAATACACATACTGGTAATAACACACTGAGGCACGATGACCTTATAATACAATAATAATTTAACACCTATTACCGCCTCGATGAAAACGATTACGTCTAATTACTGTACAGTGTATCTTTACTTTTTACACTGTAATAGAATAGTTAGGGAACAAACACATTTCTTTTCTAGCCGTTATGGTTTTTTTTTTTTTTCTACAAACTCGACTCCCCGAAAACCTCGAACTGTAATAATATTTTGATTGTTAAAAGTTAGAAGCATAAAGTACATATAAAATAATACATATCACTGTGAAAATCGTATTTTTAGTGCCTATACTACAGTTATTGTTGTACCCGTACGTAATTTATCAAATTACGAGTTTCGAACGGTAAACATAGTACACAGACCGCATAGGTATTATACGCCGTTGCATATTTTTATTAACAGTACCTATTTATCATAATATTTAGTATCCTACCCCGGTATTAGATTCTTTCATTTTTCATTTTTTTTTTTCCCATTTTATCCAGATAACTAAAAGAATAATTAAATGTATAGAAATCGTGGGTTTAAAACTCCGAGAATCCGAACGGCCAGACAAATTCCATAACTAAAGTAAAAAGTTACGATTTATACTATATTATTATTATTCGTGTATTATTTGGTGACACGTAAATATGACGAGTTGAGAACGATTTTTTTTTCCAACAGCGAAGCAATTTCTCACGCCCAGTGTATCGCGCGCACACACACACACACACACAATGCCGACAAATATTTTTTAATATACATAGAATATTCACATAATATTCATATAAATACAATACCAAGCCAACGCACAAAACGGAAACGCGTGAATTAATAAGGCAATACGTGTCAAAATATTGTCAATATGGCTATTTTTCTAAACAAAAAAAAAAAAAAAACAGCGTGGACACAAAATATTATTTTAAACATTATGTAAAATATATAATTATTATATTTTCAATAGTTAATTAATCAAAAACAACCGAGTAGAATCCGAATTATATCAGCATACGACTAAAAAATCAAAAGACGTAACGGTCGTTATAATTTAACGTGTCGTTTCTACACCATCTTTAAATTTAAAACCGTTTCAAATCATTGGATTTTCAAAATCCACTTTTAGTGGATTATTTTAAAAACAGTTTTATATTGAGATCACGGTTGTAGACAGATAGTGTTGTAGTTCAAATCAATATGGATAACACGTCTTAATCTATAGTAATCAATTACACAAATTACTTCTTCGTTGAAAATAAATGCTTGTCCGCCATGCTTCAATGACGACAACCTATAATTCGAAAAGACGTTTGAATGTAATTTACTATAGGTACCTAGTACCTACTACATAATAATTCATAAAACTATATTATATAATTATTATGAAAGTACCTATATCATTTATAAAAGATAATTAATCGTTTATTTTTATAATTAATATTCGTTTATTCTTTGCTAATTACCTAATATTTATGAATTATAATTGATGTATCGTTTGTTGATAATTCTTCTTCGTATCGTATCACTTAATTTGTTCACAACTATCTACACGTTTCGGAGATTGGATTTCGGACGTTTAAAATCCATTTTAAAATTTGCTGGAATTTAGATTTTCAAAATTAAATTTATCCAGAAATCTTTAATGTATATTTTCAACATTTTCCGGCAATGACTAAATATGTATATGTATATGTAATCTTGACCGTGTGGATATTTTTTATTAATAAATGTTATGTGTTCATCTATAACTAAAATATATTTTTTCCCCATTATTTGAATATCTATTTAGAGTCATTTATACGCAATCATACTATTACTAAGTACTGCCGAGATATGTAATGACAATTATTATGTTACGCATTGACGCGTTATCCAAAGGCTTTGTTGATTTAAGTAAGTAGGTTACAAACCATGTCGTCTGTTTTAACTTGTAAGTATAATCTGTACAAGATGTATAAATTATCAAAGGTCTCTCGGCAAAACAAAAATACAGTGGCGTGTCTGTATAATACAGGTATCTAGAGTAGGTATCTATATAAGTACAGCGACAATTCAAACGTAGCGTAAACCTACTACGGTAATAATAAATAGACGTATTTAAAAAATGTGTTTTCGTCGTTATTCGTTTCGTTAAAAGTCCAAACTAATCGCGGTTCCAAACTTTAACGTTATAACAATATTTGTTCGGATAGGTACTTACACCTATATACGCATAATATAATTTAAGAACGTACAATATCCGTACTGTAAATAACATAATGTTATTATTACGTTATTTTCTAAACAAAAATATAATACGCGTTTTAAAAACAACAAAATTATAAAACATTATCCCCCCACATAATGTATTATATTTAAAAAAATAATAATAATAAAAAAAAACGCGAAAAAAAAATACATAAATTTATAATATATAACATTATGAAAATAATAATTTACGTCATAATAAACACAGGTTAAATTTATATGTTTATATATATATATATATATGTTTGATTTTTTTTTTCTGTTCTAGTTTGTTTTACGGTTTATTATTATTATTCCCCCGACTGAAACCTTAAATTATTTTGTACTGCAGGTAATTTATAAGATGAACAATGATTAAGATGTAATTTCCTAATATTATATTGGCGTGATTCGCTAAATTTACAACGAGAAACGCATTGATTTTTATTATTATTGTGAATAATATATTTTTGAAATAATTTTTTTCCTCCGTATTTGTTCAACTGTTTCTTCAATACCTGTTACGCGAGTATAATAATTTGCCGTTCGTCACAACAGCTACAGATAATAGGTGTTGGTAAATTTTAAAAACGAAGTATCAAATTACCGAGAGAGTTGTATTGTTTCTAGAAAATAATATCAGAAATTTGTGTTAGACAAGTCGTTTTTATTCAATCCCGGTCCACAAATGTATAATAGGTTCAATAACAGAATAACCGAAAATTAAAAAAAAAAATACTATAGTCTGTATGCAAGAAGAACAAAATAATATCATTTTGATTATTAAATTCTCGACCGAACAGTATCATTTTTGATTTATATTGTCGTTATTATTATTATTATCTCACGGACGGGAGATAAAGCGTTCAATTCACGCAACATCACGCACACACACACCGTTCGCCAGATCAATAACATGACCCGTCGGCATGTATTGACTATTTTTAACATTAGCCAAAATATGTGTTTGCGTGCGTGTGTGCGAGTGTATGTGTTGGACATTATTCAAAATTGCCTAAATTACAGAAACGTAAAGGATTCGAAAAAGCATTCCCAAAGTCACAATATAAACGAAAATTGTATTTTGTTTAACACGAACTGTACATATACAAGGATCGTATATTGTAAGTATCGTTATAATTTTTTTGCGGTGACGGTACAGTTTTGTATTACATTATAATAATATTATCGATACACGTGATATTCGTCTCCGATTCGGTTTAATAAAAAAATAGGAATTATTTTAAGTAGGTAGTAAGTTCAGTAGTTAAATTTACCGAAAACTACGAAATCGCAGAAAACAGGTTATGTTAATGATCAAAAGCTGATAATGGGGATGTATACAGGGTGGAGCTACGGGGCTTAGGTCCCCCCCCCTTAGAATGTAGGTACTATACAAATATATAAGACTTATACTGAATCATAAAAATTGTAACTTAGATTAAAAACACATTTTAACGCATATGACATGTAGATTTTATTAGCCCCTCCAACCCCCCTCCCCCCCCGTGGATATAAGGACGAAAAACGAATAAATAAATAATTAAAGACTTACCGATATAGTGATGTGATGGCGGTAAACAAACCACGAAAACGAACATCGTCGCGACCCCAACAATTATTATTATCGCTGGCATTTCATCAAAAATCGTATAGTTACGGCGGTAGGGTAAGTATATACTTCGAATTTTAATAATAATTGCAGTACATTATTCGACTGATGGTTGTTTTTTTTTTTCTCGAAAATATTATAGGTAATGTCTAAACTGCACAGTGCGCATACCTATATCTAATTGGCGTAAACGGTATACTGATCGAATGGAAAATGAAAAACGGGTAGATACCTCACAGGTACCTATCTATAGATATACCTGTAATATTGTTATATTATACAATAATAAGGATTAATATTGATTATCTCGAGCACATACAAGAATGCACGAAAAAAAAAAAAAACTTTAAAAAATACACACTGTCTTTAACCTAATTGACGTAACTTTATTAAGAGTGTATATTTTATATTTTATTAAGAGTGTATATTTACTTTAGCTTATTATTAGTCATATATTATGAATATTATAATTATATTTATTTATTAAGTTTGTCGTTGCAACAACAAAATTATTCTACACAATCGTAAAAATAATACTATATTTTTTTATTGTCCAGTGTGTAATATTATATTTTGGTGATGCAATTATTTAATAATTATTTTTACTGTTATTATATTATTACGTGTGAAACGTATTCATCGTCGGTCTCTCTCTCTCTCTCTCACGCAGTCACTCTCCTACTGGCCTAAACGTCTCGACGCTAAAAATCAATTAACCACACGAATAAAATCGTATACTGCTTGTTACATTAACTGCCGCGCAATAAAAACCATATTTCTAGTGAATTTAGTGGTTATTTTCGTCAAATTGAATTTGCGCGCAGCGTTTAAATTGCAAACTATTATTAAGCATTCGCGCTCTACGAGTGCTTAATTATTATCATTGTCGTACTGGGTAATTTTATATAGATAATATAATATACATATGTAATAACATGCACTTGGCGCGAAAATTTAGGTAATTGAAAATTATTACAGGTTTAAACGCACTACACAAATTTCAATGTCTTGGCACGCTACTATTCGCACGGAACTCATAAAATATACCATCTGAAATTAAATCGAAAAACTGATACTATTTTGGGTTGACAAAACGACTATGTTCAAAAGCACAATCGAAAAACTTAAAAGTACAATTAATTTACCGCGCGCTAGTTCGCTACCGATTTGTAACCTACGATTGTGAAACGCGAACACTGCGTAAATCGAAAGAATATTAACAGCAGATTTTCAGAAGCACTTTTAGTCCATATGCATGAACACACGGGACAGTGAAGTCATAAAAGTAAAGAACTAGAACAACTTACTGTGAGAAAGACTTGGTATACTCAGCACCCGTAGTAAAAGAAACATTAAAAAGAGACACTACAATAAGTAGGACGTTCGTGTGGGAAACAAGAATAAAATTGATTCAATCTATAGATCCTGGAGGTAAAAGATCATAAGAACGAACACGTACAAGATGGACAGACCAGATAAAATATTAAGTCAAAATAAAAGAGACACATTGGAGAAAATTAGCCTTGGATAGAAAACTGCCGAGTGAAATTTGTTTGTCAGCATGATGGTTTTCAAGTACTTATACAAAAAAAAAAAAAAAATGAAAAATTATAACATATATTTAAATCCACGGTGGTTTTAGTTAATTTTCCACGTCGTAAGTCAGTCTATTCGGTCAGTCGTAAGGAAAATGATCGAATTATTTGAGTCAATGCCGAAAATCTGAAATAAATGGTAAAAAAATACCAATGAGGAGCAAAGCTTTATCATTAGATTCAAATTTTCCCCCAGCCGACTGGTCGCAATACCGGTAACAATATTTCATTTCTTTTTCGTATAATTGATTAAAAATCGTCACGGTTACCAAAGTTTTAAAACATTTTAATCCGTTGGGTGTATTTTTGTTGGAGCATAATTTGTGTGGTGGCACGGGGCGCAGCGTTTTAGTAATACACCACTAAACTCTCTCCGGACCGTGACAAAAAATAACATAAATGTACAATAACTTATTGTTGAGCCGCTTGTTTCTTAAATGTTTTATAAAACAAATATCGAAAAAGTCAATATTTTCCGAGTAATTAAGGTTTTACGATTGATTGATCGCTTTGTAAACATAACAGACGCAACCCAGTGCTGGCGTCTTAATTGTATAATATCCCTATTATCCCTATTAATAAATTATCGAAACACATTTTTGACGATCTTGCGGTCTAGTAAAGAATAATTTCGGTTTCTCTGTTAATTGTGTGTCTTTGGCGGCAATTCGGCACACAACTATTATACAGTTCTACAGTTTTCGCTCAGTTGGCAAACAAGTATATTATTATAAGACATAGTTATTTTTTTTTTATTAAAAAGAATTGTTTATATTAATGTGTGCCGTGAATAACTCCGACTTTAAGGACGGCAGTTATAACCTGAAGTAATAAAAAAAAAAAACAACATATTCTTTATAGTTTGTCAGCATAATTCGCTATATTATACCATAGTACACACAATTTCTTATTTCGATTTTTTCAAGATGGATAAAAATATATTAAAAATACATTTTATATATTTTTTTTAATAGTATTATTAATATTTCATACGGCGAATTGTGTGTTCCCGATACTCGGTTCAAAATGTGTACACAGTTTAAATTCGGTCTCTCTTAAAAATAATAATATCGATCTTGCTGAATAAGCTAGTAATAACACACTATAATAATAAATTAATAACCTATATTGATATAGTTGATATTCATTTACAGCAACTATTTTAACATGCGTTATTATTACATAATTCTAAAATCAATATTGCCAGTCGACTTCTCTAGATTGTATCGTTACGATGTTTTACAATATTGCCAATCTGACCGATTAGAATAAGTCGATACCGCTCGTACTCGAATTAAAGATAGGAGGGACACTTTTTTTTTTTTTTTAGCGTCCCTTAACTATAATAATTTCTGTTGGGACGGACGGAAGAAAGGGATACGTTTCTTTTCGCAAATGATAATATTTTTAAAAACGTGGAATATTAACTTTGCAGATATGATGGATATTCAAATATTCTGTATATGTCTTTTAGAATTTAATATGCAAATCGGGATTTATATGGTTTGTTTATTTTTTTTGGTGCGTAGTCAAACCTAGCAGAGCGCTATTGAAATTGTATGTCATGTACCTACTCATGTTACAACAAGTTCGATTAAGAAAAAAGAAAGTGCATTTTTTTTTGTTGTTTATTTCAAGTTTTTTTAATTTTAACTACCTAATGTTTCTTGCTTTTTTGCATATTTTCTACTTTGTGCTTATGTAAGCCACTGACAAAATCCAGATTTTTTTTTATTAAACTCTTTATAATCTACTTGTTTTGCCGGTCGTCGCTGGGCACGGAATAATATAATTATTTTTAAAAAGATTCAATAAGAATTCAAAAAATAAATTATTTTAGTAAATATTGAATAAATAATAAATATTAAATTTAGCCTGCAGTAATATTATTGGGTGTTGATTTTGTTAATAATTACTAATTAATGAATTTATGTTTGAAAAGTAATGTAAGGTAGGTGTGAGGGTGAACTACCCTGGGATAGATTGAGTTCAATAATTGCAAGGGACGCGAACATTTTTTTTTTTTTTCAAGTCTTATAGTCCCTCTTCTTATATATTATTTCCATGTACACGTATTCTTATATATTATATATTCGGACACTGGTTACCCGCGCGGTTCAGTTTCATTTTTTGTATGTGCGCCTAAATGGAAAAAGGGTGTGTTTTTTTCGCCCAAAAACACTCCGCGGTTTAAAATTCCGAAAATCCCGTAGGTTTCTCGGAAAAGGATGTCACGGCTGGCATCTTATTTTTCGCAACATTATTGCAACTGCTGCAACACCGTAAATTTGTAACGTATATTCCGATTAACTATATACTGCGTGACGATAATATTATCAGCCCGTGGTGCTTGCAGGTATGGTTAGTCGCTGCTATATTGCTGAAAATCTCGGTCTATTTTACGCGACCCGCAATGCTGCAGTTCCGGTTTTATTGATGGCGAATTGAACAAAACAATATTTAAAATCAAATACGACTGTGAACGATTACATTAAATCGTATATATTGTATATTATATTACAGGTGCATGGTATATTAAATTATGTACGTCATAAATTCGCAATAGTAATCGGGGGTAAAGGTAACAATTTGCTATTAGCAATAACAATCCCGATGAAATTGAATTGGCAATAAAAATTAAAAACAAATAACGGAGTTATTTTATTATTTTACTTTAAATAATTTAAATAATAATAAAAAAAAATAAGTTTACCCCGCCGCTCGTATGCGGAAATTACATTTCTAAACAACAACCTTCTTTTTCTTCCTAACCACACAATTCTTCGACAGTTGTTGCCATCGACGCCGACACTGTTTTCCACTCTACTCAGTCTTCAAAAACCGTGATTGTGTACTCTCTCTTACCAATATTCGCTACAACTATAGTTTTTCACTGTTCTATTTCACCCGGTCTGTTCGCTGCTTCATTAGACGTCCTCTAAATCTCTTCCCTGCACCAGAGGTTCTCCACTTAATAATAACCGCACTTAGATATCTACACCGGTTCCGGTTCTCTTATTATCACGTTATATCCAAACCGTTGAATCGTTATTATAAAAAATATAAATCTATCATTTTGAATTCTCAAATTTGCGTTATAAATCCATTTTATTAAGGACAAACCGTCCATTATTAGGTATAATACACTGCATTATCGAATCTACAACAATTCGGTTGTTCGCGTGTATGAGATCGATACGAATCGGGTCCGTGAACCGAGCTGGCGCGTAATTGAAAAGCTTTCAAACGACTGCCTCAAAGTTTTCCGTAGGTACGTGTACGGAGAAAAAAAATAAAAGTTTGCGCCATTATGATAATCAAACCGAAATGAAAAAGAAGCCTCGCGCGCACAACGTTATAAACTATACAGTACATACACCTAATACCTATATCCCTAATATAGGTACTGTATTATAATATATTCACGTCG